TATTCCAGGACTCTAACAGGGATATGGAGTCAGGGAACCCTACTCCAGGACTCTAACCAGGATAAAGAGTTAGGAAAACCTTTTCCAGGACTCTAACTGGGATATGGAGTCAGGGAAACCTATTCCAGGACTTTAACCAGGATAAAGAGTTAGGGAAACCTTTTCCAGGACTCTAACCGGGATATGAAGTCGTCAGGGAAACCTTTTCCAGGACTCTAACCGGGATAGGAAGTCGTCAGAGAAACCTTTTCCAGGACTCTTACCGGGATATGGAGTCAGGGAAACCTATTCCAGGACTTTAACCAAGATAAAGAGTTAAGGAAACCTTTTCCAGGACTCTTACCGGGATATGGAGTCATCGAAACCTATTCCAGGACTTTAACCAGGATATAAAGTTAAACCGAACCCACTCAATATAAGGTAGGTTTCAATATGTTAACTAATCCCCATTAGTGGGTTGAGTTTGGGAGGGTTTAACCTTGCTCAGGGTCCTAGGTATCCTATGGACAGAAACTCATTTAAGTAGAGAGGGTTCAACCTCACATGTAAACATTGACATACTTCAAGTTTAAATACATAAGAACAGGAACTAGCTTAGAGGGGGGGGGGGGTAAAAATTCTTTAAATTTTCTCTTTTGTTATGAAGCTTTAGAACTGAGTTTTGAGGTTGTCAGTATACACGTACATTGTACAAGTTTAATATCACCGTCATTAAATCTACATATGCACCCAAAACACCTAAAACTTTGAAACCTTTCTTGTTTAAGGCAGTCCTGACTCCTGGCCTGGTCTTGTTGAATCAAATCAAAGATAGAAAAACAACCATCAACCAAAAATGTGACGTGGTTCAAGGTTTGCAGTTTAAATACGTACAACTCTATGTGTCTTAAATAGATTTAAAGAGATTTTGAATTTTACATTGAACCCTGTGGTTGACAACCCCCCCAACCCCGGCCCCTTGAGCAAAACTTGTGTTAAAGATTGCCATCTGTATATTTGTCAAGGCCCCTACTACACTTTTTTATCTCTATGATGAATTAAAAAAACAAGTTCTGGTGTCTTTTTAGAGTGTTAAGTTTAAAACCTTGAACACCTGGTCTAGGATGTGATCTGGTCTCTATGTAGAGTGTTAAGTTTAAACCCTGAACACCTGGTTAAGGATGTGTCCCTGGTGTCTGTATAGTGTTAAACCATGAACACCTGGTCAAGGATGTGTCCTGGTGTCTGTATAGAGTGTTGAACCCTGAACACCTGGTTAAGGATGTGTCCTGGTGTCTGTATAGTGTTAAACCATGAACACCTGGTCAAGGATGAGTCCTGGTGTCTGTATAGTATGTTGAACCCTGCACACCTGGTCCTGGTCAAGGATGTGTCCTGGTGTCTGTATAATTTTGAACCCTGAACACCTGGTCACGAATACGTCCTAGACTGTATAGAGTGTTGAACCCTGAAGACCTGGTTAAAGATAAGTCCTGGTGTCTGTAAAGAGTGCTGATCCCTGAAGACCTGGTCAAAAATAAGTCCTGGTGTCTGTATAGAGTGTTGAACCCTGATCATCTGATCAAGGATGTGTCCTGCTGTTTGTATAGTGTTGAACCCTTTACACCTGGTCAAGGATGAGTCCTGGTGTCTGTATAGTGTTTAAACCCTGAACACCTGGTCAAGGATGAGTCCTGGTGTCTGTATAAAGTGTTTAAACCCTGAACACCTCGTCAAGGATGAGTCCTGGTTTCTGTATTGAGTGTTTAAACCCTAAACACCCGGTAAAGGATGAATCCTGGTGTCTGTAAAGTGTTGAACTCTGAACACCTGGCCTAGGATGAGTCCTGGTGTCTAAATAGTGTTGAACCCTGAACACCTGGTCTAGGATGAGTCCTGGTGTCTGTGTAGAGTGTTGAAACCTGAACACCTGGCTAAGGATGAGTCCTGGGGTCTGTATAGATTTTTGAACACTGAACACCTGGCCAAGGATGAGTCCTGGTGTCTGTATAGTGTTGAACACTGAACACCTGGTCAAGGATGAGTCCTGGTGTTTGTTTAGAGTGTTGATCACTGAACACCTGGTCAAGGATGTGTCCTGGTGGTTGTATAGTGTTGAACCCTGAGCACCTGGTTAAGGATGAGACCCAACCCCCATAACATTTTATATATTGAACGAAGACAATTAGTATTCTTTGATATTTTGCTGTATCATAACTTCTTCAATTAACATCATGATCAACAATATTATCTTTTCGTACAGAGCCACTAAAATAATCCTATTGTTCAGATTAAAGAATATTTATTTAAATTATGAAGCAAGATATCAGATTTTATAAAATCTATGATTTAATTAGGTTTTGGAATGTCTAAAACTTGCTCGAATGTAAAAACTGAAGCTATTTCAGCATTTTTTGAATAAAATTTAAGTAGCAAAATTAGCAGATCAAGAGGAAGGGGATAAAAGGAACGTCAACACCCACAAATGTTGTGCACATATTACGATCATGTTTTGGTACTCCTTCCCTCTCCTAACGCTGAATACTGTATTCAAGATGTCAAACTCCGGAAGTTATCAATCTCCCCTCCTAGTTCTCCTCCCTACCTAGAGACAGATAAACCTGTTGACAAATCCTAGATTTCCTAGATAATCCTTCTCTAGGTAGGCGGACACCAGGGCGTTAAACTATTCTATAAATCTAGTTTACAACTTCTCAATGTCTGCTGGAGTATACAAAGTTAATTAATTCTCTAAGTTGACACTTTAAAATATTACAAAGGAACTGTTTAGTTATCATAAAGGGTAAACACAAATATTTAGAAATTATACAGTGAATCCCAGATATAAGAATACATAGACCGTCATAAGTTTTTTGATAATTCTCAAGAAACTTCATTTAATTTTTAATTTAAGGTAAATTAATAGCCCTGAAATATGAATGCAATTGATATATTGATATTAAACTTATTTTTCCGCGGCATTTGATCTTAAATATGTAATACGACATAATAAAAAACTCTTGCTATGTATTCATATATCTGGGATTTACTGTAATTTACTGCTAGAACAGTGGATGTATATTTTCTTGAAAAATCATCCCCCATAAGTTAGGGATGTTTGCGTGTAGCGGCAAAATACTTTTCAGGTTTTTTCTCTCTTAATTGGGGGAAATAAATGATTTTTAATAGGAAATCACTTAATTTCTGGTTACAAAAGTATCAAAAGGATGAAAACCCATATTTCAAGTTGTCAACGTATTCTCAAGGGACCCATTTTAAGAAAGTCTTGACATATAAAATCATCACCCACAAAAATCATTTAGAGACAAGTGGCCTAAATTGCGTTGAAACCCCAATTATGTCTCAAAACAGTCTGTTACATCCTGCGTCTACTTTATAGCTCTCTGCACGTGACATAATTGACATGGAGGATGGAAGAAAATTATCCTAAAATATTTTAACTGTTCATGTCATTTAGACATATTTAACTGTTAACATGTAACTGTTCATGTCATTTAGACATATTTAACTGTTAAACATTTCGTTCAACGTACTCTTTGCCAGATATAAATCATAAACCGAACGGTACATGGAGTACAAGGAGTATAACAAGGATCACAAGTAGTTCAATGAGTACAATGAGTGAAAGGAGTACAATGAGTGCAAGGATCGCACAAGGAGTACAATGAGTACAAGAAGTACAAGAAGTTCATATACATTTAAAAACAAGACAGATGATAGACACTTTCAACTTGTCTATCATAACTTTCTGAAGGTGCTGAATAGGATAATCTATTGTTCAGGTTTGTTATGAGTTAGGTTTGGTTTAAATCTGAGCTTTGTGGATGAAAAAAAGTGCTTAGTTGGTGTTAATTGTTAGATATATTGATATTCCCTTTTCTATGCCTCAGACGTAATTTTAAGCGCATCTCCATTTAAAGTAACATGTAATTAGATTACAAATTAAGTTACAGGACAAATCAAGAGTATTTGAGTAATATGTTCCAGGACGTGAACCATGTGTAATTAGATTTTAAGTTACAGGACAAACCATGAGTAATTAGAAAATAAGTTCCAGGACGTGAACCATGTGTAATTAGATTGTAAGTTACAGGGCGAACCATGAGTAATTCTATAGATTTAAATAGACGATACGTTACAGAACAAACCATGAGTAATTAGAGAATAAGTTACAGGGCAAACCATGTGTAATTAGAGAATAAGTTACAGGACAAACCATGAGTAATTAGAGAATAAGTTTCAGGACAAACCATGAGTAATTAGATAATAAGTTACAGGACGAACCATGTGTAATTAGATAATAAGTTACAGGACGAACCATTTGTAATTAGATAATAAGTTACAGGACGAGTAATTAGATAATAAGTTACAGGACGAACCATTTGTAATTAGATAAGTTACAGGACGAACCATTTGTAATTAGATAATAAGTTACAGGACGAACCATGTGTAATTAGATAATAAGTTACAGGACGAACCATTTGTAATTAGATAAGTTACAGGACGAACCACGAGTAAATAAATAATAAGTTACAGGACGAAACATGTCTAATTAGATAAGTTACAGGACGAACCACGAGTAAATAGATAATAAGTTACAGGACGAAACATGTCTATTAGATAATAAGTTACAGGACGAACCATGTGTAATAAGATAATAAGTTACAGGACGAACCACGAGTAAATAAAAAATAAGTTACAGGACGAACCACGAATAATAGAGAATAGATTATAAGACGAACAATGAATAATTAGATAATTAAGTACACAACCAACCATGTGTAATTAAATAGTTAGTTGCAGGACGAACCTTGAACGTATATGTTTTTTATTATGGATTTCTTTTCTTGTTTTATACAATATAGATCAACAGAAATTTGTTTGAGCTTTTAAAAGTTGGATAAAGACATTTCTTACAAGTATCAATTAGTTTTCACTATCTAAACTTAATTAGTCATCATTTGAATCCTCTCTTCCATTAGCATATAAGTGCCTGCATGTAATACATATTGCTGGTATATATTTCGTTATAAATTAACATATCTATGCATAAATTAACTTTAATTATTTACATATAAAGGCACCTAGAGTAAAGTGAACATCAACATAACAGTAAATAGCACCATGTTTAAGATTTCCATTAAGAACACGATCAGGAAATTTCCGGTGTCGTTTTTTTCGTTTTTTACGCGACCAGTGGTGAAATGGAATCTTAGATTAAGCAAACTAAGTAAAATCAGATGTGAAATTTTCCTGCATTATTCATTAATATATCTTGTTCATTAGGCTTCCGCAGAAAAATAAAACGGTATTATGTGTAAATACAATATTAATTTTTTCTCTCATTAGTCGTGTATTGATTAAATTTGTATATTCCTTCATGACAATATGTCAAAATTAATACAAAAAAGGATAAAAAACAGATTCGTAAAATAACTTGTTAAATGTGAAAAAGTTGCTTGGAGATTACTATGATTAAAGTCAACAAAGAGCAAAATAAATTCTAGAAAAATAATTGATTTATGACGAAGAAGCAACGACATTGGTCGAGTATTATGACTGTTATCTCCATCTTATAATTCTGAAACCTGCAGAGTTGTAAAAACGACGAAGTGACTTGATTCTACGGTATATTGCAGGGTTGGGTTAGAAGGATGGTATAGGGGGAGAAGCAAGAGAAAGAGAATGAATCCGAGCAGGGTTAGAGCAAGCTTTCAGACATTTAATGTCTTAGAACAAGGTGTTTACAACACCTGGGTAACATTTGCGTTTATATTGTCCAAACATGAATCTGAGTTGTCTAGTGTCACGTTATTATTAGGTTCTGACAACTTGTCGGAAGACGACTTGACGGGGATAATTGCACTGGATGTATACTTAGATAGGTTTGGAGCTTGTGACGTGGAGGACGGGAGAACTGGTGAGTCTAGAACTCTGCACGGAGATAAATCATCAATCCCAGATCTGGTTGATGAAACACTAGAGGTTAGCGAAGCAGAATTTAAAGTTATATTTGAGTTTGAATACGATTCCATAGAGTTTAAACATGGGATAGAAGCGGTGCTTATCTGAGAATCACTAGAGGAGGTTAAATCTAGAGGATTGGATCGGATCCCAAGTAAATGATCCTGTTCCTGGTTGCAATCCTCTAGGATTTGAAAACTCAGACTGGCTTTAATCCTCGCCTCTCGGAGCTGAGCTTCCAAAAACAAAACGTGTTGATCGAACGCAGAGAGTTCAGATTCTTTTTCGTCTTCTTTATTTCGGTTTTTAGATTCTTCAATCTGCAGAGTAACTGCCTCAGCGAGGGCGCAAGTTGCTTCACGGATTAAACGCTCAGATTCTTCGAGTTTCTTGTCGAACTCTTTTATCCTAGAAGACAGAGCGTTAACCTCTCCGTCCACCCGCTTGAGCTGAGACCTCATAATGTTATGAAGCTCATTCTTTATAATATTAAACTTCATTGTAGTATCAGAACCAAACATGGCAGAACCAAATGCAAAGCCTGGATAGTCTGCGCATCGATTTTGTCTGTTCCTCCGTTCTTCTTTCTGTTTCTCTTTCCTCGCGAGCTCCTCTGTACAGAGGGACTCACACCGGAGCTTACTCCACTCGTCATCCTCATCTCCCGTCGTTCTTGTATTCTCCCCTGCATCCGGTCTCGGGTTCTCCGGAGTAGGTTCCCGAGGATTCGTAGTAGATCCATTTGAGGAGGCGGAGCTAGCTTGTGAGATATTATCGTCTTGTTCGTCTAGAAGGAGGGACTCCTCTGCTCCGGGTATCATGTTGGTGTTGGTGGAATCAGATACAGTGGCATTGATCATGAGCTCCTGAAATATAAAATAATAAATATGTGTTTTTCAAAATATTTGCTTAATATGCGCGCAGATAACAAAACCAAGGTCTCAAAAGCTATTTTAGAGATGTTTGAACAAGGTTTTTTAAAAACATTTTATAAATATGATTGCCTTAAGTGTCTATTTTTTCGGGAGAGATTTAAACTGCAAACTTAAGTTGAAGCTTTAAAAATATTAAAATTTTCTTCCGGGTTTTGGATGCATTAAAAAATCAAATTTATTCAGAAATTGTGTAAAACTAGCTGAAGGGCCCGGCGTTGCCAGTGAAAAAATAAAATCAAATTTTATATAGCCTATAACACTCCCCGGCCACCCATGAGTGTCCACAAAAAAAATTCAGCCCAATCGTTCCAGCCGTTTGGCCGGATTTAGGCAACATATATATATCTGATGTTCCTGTCTCGAGAAACTGATAAAAAAACTGTGTTAAAATTATACAAAAATTCATATATGTAAAATTTTGAAAATCTGAAACTTAAATCACGTGACCAGAACTATCACCAATGGCAGAGCAGTATACTGGTCACGTGTCTCCGCCTGTATCACGTGACCACTTTACTGCACTGCCATTGGTGGAATTTCTGGTCAAATAATACGGACGTAAAAATAATATTATGAATGAAATCTATTGAAAATAGAAATAACAAATATAAAAGTAAACCTAATTTACAATTAGCTTTCTCTGGGATATCATCGTTTTCAGATTGGTTGCTTATTTGCTGAATATGATCTGTTTAAACCTACTACTTTTATACAAAATTGTATATATATTAATTTTCGTATATATTTGACACAGTTTTATATCAATTTCTCGAGACATGAACATCAGATATGACTTTCATGAGTCGCGATCAAGAGCTAAAGTGATTAGCTTTCAGCCTATATCCCCTTTCATTTTTCCTTTACTGTCCCTTTAAGTAATACTGAATAAGAGTTGTATTGGGTAAAATAGGGCTTTACTTGAAACTCAAGGAATTAATTAAACAAGAAGAATGTATTCAATGTAAAAACTAACAAAAATAATGAATTTAGTGTTTTAAGGACAGAGACCAGGGAAAAACATTTTATATTATTGTATTTTTTATTACAATTTAAACATACAATATAACATTAAATGAAAAATTTTACTTGTATTCATGGGGTTTGAAATTCATATATAAAGTTAAGCTAATTTATGTTTTTGTTTAAATCTGTGAAGTTTTTTTTTAACCATTACAAACATTTAATCATATATATAGATAGATAGAATCGATCATAATTTAGTATTATTCATCCTGTCATTCACATTTTTTTCGAACAATACACAACACAGAAAAAAAAACTGAATTATATAAAATCCATTCTAATATTTCTCAAAATAATCTTTTTGAGGAAATGTTTGCAAAGTAAAATCAAACAAAAATAATGAAAGTGGAAGAAAAAGTTTTATCGATCAAGGAAAGAGACACATTTCAATAAAAATAAAAGACAGAATTGATTAATTCAGAATTTCGTAATATTCGTTTGTCATTAAATTTTCATGCAAGCACTAGAGCGATGAAGAATTAAAAATAAAACAATTCCATAATACTTATATTAACAGTGCCTTGCAAGGTAATGAAGTGTTCTGAAGATATGACGAATGTAACAGTACCTTGTTACTTTTAACAGCTTTAGACGAGACAGCAAAAACGGGTAAGATATATAATAAAAAATAAGTAATATATAATAAAAGTAATAAATATATAGATCTACTTTTAAACGAAAATAGAGAATAAAACAATTATTGTCCGTATTATTTGAAAAAAATTCATAATATTAAAACGTATAATTTCAAAAAGTTTGGCCTAGACATTATAACCTCCCCAAAAAATCTATCGTTATTATGTAAACCTGTGTTTTAGCTCGATCTTACAAACTTGAAGCAGTGTTTTGAGGAGAGGGGGGTTCGGTGTTACTTGCCCTTCATTTTGCTAATAATTAGGGAGGAGTGGAACCAGGGTCCGACAAGGTTCAGCTGATTAACAGTAATACTGTAGGCTGCAGGTTCAGAACCTAGTAGGACCCTAATTGATCTAGCTTTGAATATTAGGGAGGTTAGGAGAGTGCGAGCTGGAGAAAGTTTTGCCGCGTTTCATTTTAAACGGAGAATCGTCGGTTATCTTGGGCTACATTTAATGATATTAGGCTATTAATAAAGAATAAATTTTTAATAAGCAAGTTCTTACATAAATGCTTTCATTCGTATATTTTAATATATATTTTTCTATGGTTTAAAAATTTATTGACAATATTGCAATTTTTTCTTTTTCTCGTTAATAAAAGATTGAAAAAGAAGAATAAAAGAATAAACTTATTTTTCAATGAAGACGCAAAAAGAGTGACATCCATACATGAAAATTAAGAAAATTACCACAAGACCTACCTCGATTAAATAACTTAGTACCACATATATTGAAATGCAAGCTGACATAAATAGTTACCCCACATAGAATGCGACTTCAGAGACGACTTTACGGAGTTTTTCGAGTCTGTGTCCTTAAATTCATAATTTCCTCCAACTATAAATTTCTTTTTTTCTTTGCTGAATAATTAAATAAGCCAATTAAAGACCAAATTCAAGGGTGAAGACTTAATTTAAACTTAGGATCGTCAAATCTGACGAGTTAAAAGTCGTCTTTACAGTCTTATCCTTTGGGGGTAGCACTGTAGGTTTAAGATTTTTAATGATATATAATATATAAACTATTTAGGAGAACTAAAAACACTTGTCAGTTATATAAGTAGAATAATATAAATTTTATTATGATTTAATGTTCTAAAAATTGTAATATATTGGAATTTCAACACAAAAATTTTAGTTTTGTATAATAATCCAAAGGTTAAAACTTATGTGTGAAATACTAATCTTCTAAAGCTTGATGTACAATTACTAAGTCATGTGCAAAAAAAATTACTTTTGGTTTTGAAAAATGAATTGAGTTTTAAATAAATATTTATTAAAATCTTTTTTACATTAAACTATCAATTGCTCATTTTCACTACACACAACCTTTATTGTTCAAAACTTTAAGTTTATCATGCTTACTTTCTACATTAATTTAGCAAAATTTCAAGTTTGCAGTGTTTCTCATTCTACTTTCTACATTAATTTAACAAAATTTCAAGTTTGCAGTGTTTCTCATTCTACTTTCTACATTAGTTTAGCAAAATTCCAAGTTTGCAGTGTTACTCTATTCTACTTTCTACATTAATTTAGCAAAAATTTCAAGTTTGCAGTGTTACTCTATTCTACTTTCTACATTAATTTAGCAAAATTCCCAGTTTGCAGTGTTTCTCTATTCTACTTTTTACATTAATTTAACAAAATTTCAAGTTTGTAGTATTACTCTATTCTATTTTCTACATTAATTTAGCAAAATTCCTAGTTTCCACTGTTCCTCCATTTTACCTTCTACATTAATTTAGGAAAATTCCAAGTTTGCACTGTTCCTCCATTTTAATTTCCACATTAATTTAACAAAATCAAGTTTGCAGTGTTCCTCCATATTAATTTCTACATTAATTTAGCAAAATTCCAAGTTTCCAGTGTTCCTACCTTTTACATTAATTGTTAAACCTTCATGTTTGATTTGTGACTCTATTTTGCTTTAAACATTAATTGAAAAAAAGTTATCTTTTCTTTGTGACTTTTCCGTTTATACGGCTTTATATGAAGACGACTTTCGATTTCAATTTTTATTTATATCGAGCAATTAAGCATCATGAATGCACAATAAAATGAAAACAAAAAGAAACTCTCAATGTAAAAAAAGCTTCTCTATTTTTATTTGTAATCCGAAAGAAGCTTTTTAAAAAGTCGCCTTCATTATATTGATATTATCGCCTACCACCGTACATTAATCATAAAAAATGGGGTTTGTTTTGCTTTGTGACTCTAATTTGCTTTATACATTAACATTAATCGATCAAAAATCTTCTTGATTCTATTTTACTTTAAACATTGAATATACTTTACGTATTGTTTTAAAATCTAAATTTGCTTCGTTACTCTATTTTACTTTATACATTAAATGTTTAAAAATTTAGGTTTTGTGTGTTACTCTTTTTTACTTTATTGTCCTAATTGTTCAAAAATCTGAGTTTGCTGCGTTACTCTTTTCTACTTTTTATCTAAATTTTTCAAAGGTCTGGTTTTGCTGCGTTACTCAATCTTACTTCATATCTTGATTTGTCAAGTCTAAGTCACACATGACAAATTTGGGTTTAGAGTTTCACTTAAAATAACACCCAAATTTTTTTTTGAAAATTGAAAGTAAAGGATTTTAAAACATGCATTAAACAAATTTGATGAGTAGCCGTTTTTAAAAAATTGGGGTATGAAATATTGGCCAAATAAGATCCTAGTTTGTCAGGACGCAAAGCTGCAAAAAGGTGGTAATCATCGAATCTGTCAAGTTTACAGTAAAAATTACAAAAATAGACTCAAAATATTTTTTATTTTAAGAACAGTACGTTTTCTTATGTTTGGCCCATTTGAACTATTTGAATTTAATTAAATTTAAAAAAAAGATCCTAGTTTGCCAGGACTGAAAACTGCAAAAAGGTGATAATCATCGAATCCATTACATAAAAATTACATAAAAAATAAAGAAAGTAAACCCAAAATTTTTTTTATTCTGAAGGGAGTTGGTGATCTAACATTAATCTCTCCGGATTATATTTTCAGTAATATGTAAAATATCATGATTAAAAAATGGTTCTTGCTTAAAATGAAATAACTGTTGTCACCAAACCCTAAACCAACTACAGAATAAAAAATAAACTAATCTAAGTTTGTTGTGTTACTTTATTTTACTTTACATCTTAATTGTTCAAATTTCTAAGTTTGCAGTGTTTCTCTATTTTACTTTATATATTCAAGATGTTCAAAGTTTGCTGTTTTATTCTATTTTACAATTTGTCTTATTTATTCAAAATTCCGTGTTTGCTTTGTCACTCAGTTTTACTTTATATATTAATTGTTAAAAAAAAACTAGGTTTGCTGGGTTACTTTCTTTTACTTTATATCTTACTAGTTGAAAAATTCAAGTCCATTGATTGACTTTATACATCAATTGTTGAAAATTAAAGTTCAAGTTTTGACTATCTACGTTAATTCACGTCTTAATTGTTCAAGAATCTAAGTTTGCTGCGTTACTCTTTTTTTACTTCACATCTTAATCTTTAAAAGGTGTAGCTTTACATTACTCAATTTTACATAATATCTTAATTTTTCAATATCTATTTTACTTTATTAAAGATTCACTATTTTCTATTCATTATTATCTATTCATTGAATCTAAGTCTGCTTTTTTTCTCTTCCCAATTTTACTCAATATATTAGTTGTTTGCTGTGTTACTCTATATTACTCAATACATTAATTGTTCAAAAATCCTAAACTTTCTTCTACCGTAAAATTTAGATCACGTGTTCAAAAATAACTTCAAAACACGATATCTATAAATCTAAAGTAGTTATCTCTGTTTGCATGTTTGTTTGTTTGTATGTCCGATCATAACTCAGGGATTTCAATTATAATTTTGAAGGTAAAATTCTAAATTTTTAGAATCCAAATTATGGTTTTATTTGAATTTCGTATCAAATTCCTTTTATTTTAGAAAGAGTCTCCATGTTCAACGTCACGAACTCGCGGGATTTTCCTTAAGAAAATAAGTAACAAAACAACCTATATTTAGACACTTTCTCCAGTTACAATAAACACAACAACAACAACGTTCAGAATAGATCACAATGTACAAAAATAATAAAATCTTGGAAATTAATTTAATGAACTTCAGATTTGTGCAAAGCTAACAAGTTGGTAGGATCGTGTAGCTTGAAAAATTGCTTTTATAAATTTTTGTTTGCGGGAACGTTTTAAAGGAAAAATTTTCAAGATTAATGCTGGATTGGTTTTTAGGCAAATTGGATTGATCTAAATATGTTCTTAAGACAAAAATTTAGTTTAATCCTAGTTCTGATAAATTCATAGGGTGTCAATGTAGACACATTTCAGGAAGCATTAAAGTACATAAATAAGCTTTAAACACATAACATCCATGAACTTTTCACATTTACAAGGATATTTTTAGGTTTATTTTAAACACGTCAGAAGGAATTTGGAACTGTTAAATAAGCAAATGATAGAATGAAGATTCCCTAATCCCTAAACTTAAATCTGTCATAGTAAAATAAAACTAGAAATAACAGGTTGATAGGAACTGGAATTCCGATGGCAAAATTTGATCTCAGGAAATTCTAAATCTCAAAGCAAGGGTCGTGCATTGAATAATGTGGAAGTAAGAACTGAGGTGACTCAGATGGATAAGAATTGAAGATGGATGAGGAATGAGATGCTGATACGGGTTGATTTTATATATTTTCTTTTAGTTTTCTTTTTTCGTTTCTTCCTTGTTCTCTTGTTCCAGCTCGGGGTTGTCGGCGTACTTGAACATGGATTTGATATCGCCACGAACCAGGGCAAGAAGAAGGGGTACTCCTGAAAATAGACAATTCAACAATTTAAATTAATGTAGCAGATTTCAATAAAATAGATTAGGTCATGAAAGTAGTGATCAAATTAAAAACATACAGGTACTAAGTAGATTACATTATTACATACAAGTATGCGTCCTACTCCTGAAAGCAGATGGTTGCAAACAAGAAGCAGAGTTGCTTATTAAAGTAGACGATTACAAGTAAGTAATAGGGGTACTCCGAAAAGTATATGATTGCAAAAAAGTAGCAATGGTACTCCTAAAAGAATATGATTACACATAAGTAGGAGGGTTACTCCTAAAAGTATATGTTTACAAAATTAGCCGAGGAGCTTATGAAAGAAGTAATTATGATGTTAGGTACTTTCCCAAAGACTTTTTCCCAACCGACAACTTCCCAAGGGTATTTTCCCAAGGGTATTTTCCCAAGCGACAACTTCCTGAGGGTATTTTCCCATGTGGCTACTTCCCAACTATGCAATTTCCCGAGCGACAACTTATATAAGTATCAGAGGTACAGGGTGTCCCACATCATATTAGATCGTCAATCGGTCTAATTTACGATTTTCGGGACTAATCAGAAAAATTAAGAAGAATAAATTATTTTGAAAAATTGAATAAACCTAATACAAGAATTTTCTTGCGGAAAATTCTAGTTTTTTTTCGAGTAATATGTGTTTATTTTGGCGTTAAAGCTTGGAGATAATCTAACATGATATGGGACAGACTGTACTACTGAAGTATACAGTTACATAACACTATTTTTCATTTATTGTCTTTAATATATATTTTTCTTCAACTTTACTAACCTAGACAGGCTGGTACAAGGTAGAGAAGTGCAGGTTGTGCATGCTTGTACACGTGCATAACAAATATTGTCATCAGCAGGCCAGAGATATAAGCTGAAGTAATAATAACAATAATAAAATTAGAGACACAAAAATGATCTTACTGAAGTAAAGCTATAGTTGTTTCTTTTTTATGAAGTAAAGGACCTCACTAGTCTCCTGGAGTTTGTAATAACTCTTGTAATAATAGAGATAAATGGTGCTAACTTTGCACCTATATTCTTTTAATCCTAAATATTTATATATATAAATACCTGTTTTGGGCCAAATACCCCCCTTTCTACGCCCCTGATCAAGAAAAAAAAAATTTGAAATTTTTTTATGCCCCTTATGAATTAAAAGAATATAGGTGCAAAGTTAGCACCATTTATCTCTATTATTACAAGAGTTATTACAAACTCCAGGAGACTAGTGAGGTCCTTTATCTTATAAAAAACGCAGTCCATATATGTACCCCTCAAACTGAAAACTATGGTTTGTCTTAATTTTTGGGCAAATCATTACAAGAAGTATGTTCAAAGTATAAAATAAACAAAAAGTTCACAAATCAAAACCATGGCCACCGACCTGTCAAATTCAGAACGATGCATTTTTCAGATTTCGTCAAATATGATTTATGGTTTTCTTGAAACACGTCAGATGCAGAATATCAAGATTCAAGATGGATATTAGATTCCAATATTGCCATTTTATAGATTACATGAATCTGCACTCAGGTTACTAATAAAGGGATTGCTCGTGAAAAATAAGATGGGTATTGAGAACAGATTTCAGAATGAATCAAAATTTAATTCGTTCTGTGAAGATAATTCAGATATATCGTTTTATAGACACTGTGTTGTCTGGATTAAATATTTAAAACTGAATTTATGCAATAAATGTTGTTATTCAGAATCAGAGCTAATAAACAAAAAATACTCCGCTTACTGCTTAGGATATGTTTCATTTCATCCAGACCCTGGATCCGCCCTTTTAAAAATTGATCCGGATCTAGCTCCTAAATAATTGTTTCCCCCCGATATTTCCTCCTTTTTCTCTAATTTTTATGAAGAAACTTCATTATCATGCGATGACATTGTTATGAGAAATTTTTGATGGGATGGTTGATATTTTGCCATATTTTTATGGATCCGGATCAAGGAAGCTAAACTTTTGTGGATACAATGGATGATCCCAAGCACTAAAAGACTATATTTTTGAATGAAATAACTCCCCCCCAAAAAAAACACCTAAAATTCTTTACTTGTGTCGACAAACGACAAATTTAGCTATTTCATTAACCTAACCTCAAAACTATAGCAGTCAAGATTAAAATTAAAATTTTCATTGCTTATCTTAAAAAATTGTTCTAAAAAAGAAAAAGAATAGTTTATACAAAAGTCATTTTCATGCAAACGTCGATCTACGATTACTCCTGCATTTAGATAGAATATTGTATTACCTAGGTAGGTTGCGTAGAAGTAGAAATGAGATTTCCTGTTGAGACTATGATCGTATCTGAGAAGGAGAGCTATAAATATTCCCGGGATAACGATATCCCCCAACCCGAGCATAGCGAAGTTGGTGGCGTTCAATCCGTTCTCCATCAGGTCCTAACATAACAACAATCATAATCTACTAGTTAGAGTACCCGGCGTTGTCCAGGTCTTTTTGTTATTATTCATAATCACTGTTATTAGTAATTATACGCAATTAGTAAATGGACTCGAACTATGACTTGCAAATTTAACTTAAATACACAAAAAATCTTTAATTTTATATTTAATGCTGTAATTAAAAACCTGTGGGAAGACTAGTTTGATAGGAGCCTCGAAGGATTTAGCGACTGTGACCATAACATCAGTTCCAAACACCCAGAAGATATCGTAGAAGAAGAGACCACTCAGGAGAATACAGCCGGTAGCAACGTTGTTCAAGTGGAGGAGCTCAACGCCGTTCACTGCAAACGCTAGTCCGAGTAGATTGTTTGCAAGCCAGTGTTTTTTCAATATATACCAGACACCAACACCAGAGCAGAGGGCAACACAAATCTTAACAGTTCTTAGCTAAAGAGAGTGTCAAGTTCTAAAGGGATCCTTTTTTTCCCACCATCGAAATTATGAAATTTAGATAATTTTTGCACGAGGGGGGGGGGGGACTTGAACTATGATTTATTTTACCAGATCATGAGTATTGAACTCGTAGTCTAGAACAGATTCCTTGGCGTCTCCCTCTCCCTGGTCGAACCGTAGATGGAAGGGAATAACGGGGAGAGCGCCGGGGATCAGCTTAAGGATGATGGGAGACATCATGTGAGACAAGGCGAAGATGCCCAACACGAAGAAGTAGAAGGTGAGAAGGAGGTTGATGTATTCTTTACCGAACACCTGCAAATTATGATTTTAATTCTAAATTGATAAATTAATTATTAAAGCTCTTATTTTTGCAAAATCGTTTTAGAAATCTGTGAAAAGCTAAAAAAATATAACACAACCGAGATCTTGATCCACCCCTTAAAGTTATATCTAATCATTTTCTTTTTTTAGTATGTATTTTACTACGTCTTCTTTCCCTTTAACACAATTTTTTCATCCTTATTTTTTTTCATATCAGTATGTAGTATTTTATTTATATTATGCAATTCTTAAAAATGAAAACCTAAAATTAATTCTAAACCTAGCCGTTTTTATTACCCCACTGAAAAAAAAATGGTTTGTGGAAAATAACCCTTCTTTATCTGCGACGCTAATAGCATTAGTTTCGACTGATGTATGTAATTTCTCGTCAGTGCGTAATACCATAATTTATTATTTCTAAATAAGCCTATCGTCTAAAACAATGTTGCAAACCGACGGTGCAAAGCCCTTGCAGCATGTTTATTAGATTTTTCTTCGGTTCTTGAATATTACGAGTCCATTTCAGGTGCACAGCTTTTTTTCTTCTAAAACCTCATTTTAATACTCTCTCAACTTTAGTTGAACATTGAACATAATCTACCGGTCTATCCTTATTTTTTTTATTATTTTCTTATTTTTTTTTATCTTTTTAAATTAATTATTTTTCCGCCCTTTTGCGCCCTCAAATAAGCACTTTTTAAGCCATGCTGATTTAAACATTGTTTTTGGTCAGAACATTATTTTATTTTAATCGCTGTTATTTTCTCAATTTTTGCTGCTCCAGTTACATGTTTGATTGTTATTTTGATCTAAACATTTATTAAAATAACTAATAATGATAAGAATAATAAATAGATTTGAATATGTATCGGATTATTTCCGAGCTTTAACACCGTACCAGCATGCATAAACATTGAGCAATGCTAAAAATACATATTGCATGAAATTTATATTTCCTTTATGATTCAAGTTACAAACTTTTTATTTTAACCCAAAAATCCCAATATGACGAGGACACCCTCTGTAGGTTATACCTGGAAGACGATGTAAAGTCCGAACAGTGCACAAGACGCAATAATCGGGAACATCATTGCGTCTTTCTGCGTCATGGTCTCAGGCTGCTCACCGGTTTTAACCTAGAAACAATATTTGTTTATTAACATATTTTGACCATTCATAATCATCTCACAGTTATTTCAATCAATTAATCAACTTTCCATCAAATGGTTGATTTTTTTTGCTTTGATGACATAGCTCCTGCCAAGTCTTCCTAACAATCAGTAATATCAGGAATAAGATCTGAAAGCCCCCCCCCCCCCCCCGTGTTTGAGAACCCAGACTAATCAGTTGACAACTATTGGGATAATTCTGTCAACCTACTGCTCTTCAATCTAATTGTGCCTAGCTTTGACAATTTTATCTAGTCGAGTTTAAAGCTTGTAATATCATAGATCTACTATATTTGGCTGCGAAGATAAAGAATTAGAAAATTAAGAATTTAAGACAAGTAATCAATTTCTTTTTTCATTAAGGTGTTCCAAAAACAATTTAATTCCAACTGTATTTTAGACAGGTTTACAGTTTGGGGATCAAATATTGTTTAAGCTAAAAAGGACAATTTGAGTCTGTTTGAAAGCAAATTTTGTGAAGACTGATGTTACCTTAAAAAAAATGGAAAGGATGCCGTAATTATTATTTCTTGTCGTAAACAGTCCACATGGATTAGGATTGTTTGGGTGGTTCTGAGGTCACTGACGTCTATTTTAGCGTCCATAAACCCAGAAAAAAGGGACAAAGGTCAAATATAAAAATCACTGCTTAGGATCCATTTAATTTTGATGCGGATCCGGATCCTGGATCCGCACTGGAAAAAATGGATCCGGATACGAATCCAGGTCATTTACTTAATTTTTTAACAAAAAATAATGATTAATTTTTTTGTTTTATTTTTTCGTTTATTTTTATCCTAAAACTTGATGAACCATTCAGAAATGATGACATTTTTATAATCTCTCTTTTTTAAAAATTTAAAATTTGGGTTTAAGGAGTAAAAAAGTTTTTTTTTTGAAGTTTTTGGTTGATCCGCATATTTTAGCGGATCCGGATCCAGGAAGCCAAAATCTTGCGGGTCCAACGGATTCGGATCCTAAGCACTGATAAAAATGGTGGCCAGGGACCTGAGCTACAATATAATCTTGATCTGTGTGATGATTGAAACTAGAGGCTGCGTAAGATTTTTAGGGCAAAATTCAACCTGAACACAAAATGCTGTTCCATTACTAGGATTTTGAAAGACACCAAACCAAATCTTACATATTTGTGGAATAGATTTTTAGTTTTTTTTTTGTAGCTTTATTCCGACTTGAAGGGAAAATATATTGGTTTTTAATTTCTTTTTTTTAAGAAGGGGGGTTGGGTACATTTTTTTACCAGATTTTCTTGTTGATCTCTATGAGACTTAACAGATCTATAGGATCCAATGAAGATTGGAAACAGAGCCATGAGAACCAAACTACCGTAGGCGATCATCATGCCTTCAGGGGTAGCTGGAACCTTAGTAGCTGTTCCATTCAATGCTTCAGCAACTGCCTCAACAACCGACTCTCCTGCTGCCTCCTAAACGATGCAAATTTAAAGTTATGATCAGTTTTGAAAAGGTCAAAAAAGACGTGGCTTGGTTATAGTATATTTTCTTTAAAACTCTGACTCTTCAAGGATACAAGTATTATTTCGATTTTATTTGGATGAATTGGGTTAAAATAAATGTGATTTAAGTGATAATACATGGATTAAGGATTGGACTGAGTATCAAAGAGAAGAATAACTTGATTTTCATTTACCCTAACAATCTTCCAAACTAGTCCCCCCCCCCTCCCGTTCATTCACAGATTCTAGAACACCGATCGCAAAGTTTGACAGGACTAAAACCCTATTGGGGTCCGTCCTAGTATACGATTTTTGGACCCCCCCGCCCCCTCCTATCAATTTTGTACATGACCACTTATTTTTCAGCATATTATTATTTATTTTTATTATTTAGGATTAGGTTAGGTTAAGACACTTTCTGGACCGAGCGCTGTGGCTAGGACAGGCTATGGGGCCGAGCGCCGTGGCCACATGGTCAATTATATTCATGTCTTACATATAAGATCCATGTACAAAATTGATAGGAGGGGGGAGGGTCCAAAAATCGTATATTAGGAAATTACCCCCTATTGCAAGATAATGGTGGAGGGGGACAAGTTCTTAATTGTATATGATTGGTCACACCAGAGCATTACATTTTAAAAGTTAAATTGATAAAATATAATCTTTCTCAATTATATGAATTTGGTTAGGTTAACGAAAACTTTGTGGGTCCGTCCTAGAGAACGATTTTTGGACCCTCCCCCCCTTCCTATCAATTTTTTACATTTACTTNGTCTTGACCTAACCTAAATAAATACTAATTTAATTGAAAATCGTTGAAAGTTCATGTACAAAATTGATAGGAGAGGGGGGGGGGGTCCAAAAATCGTTATCTAGGAAATTACCAAATTTGTGACCAACTTTAAAGATAAAGACCTGTTCGTAAACTTAGGGATTTGAAATAATAAAATATTGAACCTTGTCCCATTTTTTTATTTTCAAAAGATGGTATAATTTACTCGATATACTAAACAAATCGTATTCATAAGAGCTGTGAAATCACAGAGCATAGCTTTCATCCAACATTAATTCAAGTAAAAAAATGATTCCCATTGGCCATTGCCAACCCATTTTCAATCTTTGCTGAACACAAGATAATAAAAAGGATAAAAACTTACCACGGCTTCAGTTATCACTTCTTCTGACATATTTAAGCTCTAAGTATTTAGAACTATCTCTGAAAGATTAACACTGTTATAGCACATGACACACAACAACATTAAAAATAACGTTGAAATATAAATATAAAATAGTTGAAGATACAAACTGCGTATCAACCAAAACAAAAATATTTGGATTAAAGAGGAAAAAAGTAATCAGTTTTTCACTTTAACTCCACGTATGTGAACAGGTAGGGAAGAAGAATACACGTCACTCCACCGGGGGAGAGAGGGGGGAGGAGGGAGGAGAGACCGGAGGGAATTTTGTAGACAACGTTTTGAAAAATTAAATTTTACTTTCTGATAAAAAATCCAGAGTAAAAGAAAAACAAAAATATTCAATTATTTTTTAATTTAAAGTTTTCTAATTGATGATCTACAAAATGGGATCATAAAAATGTATTTAAAAAATTCTAATTTGAATTCCCGAAAAATGTTTTTTAAAGAAATTTAAAGATTACAAATGACGACATTTTTAGTTTTATGAATACACCCCCTTTATATTGTCTGCTGGTGGAAATGTACTGTGGCAACGTTAAAACAAAAACAAAATAAATATAGAAGTGAAAGGTTTACATTGAAACTAGTCTGAAACCGTGATGTGATAATTTTGTGTGGTAAATGTTATATTTTTAAATTTATTTAAAGAACCTTATTTGATAAGCAGAATTTGAGGTGAATAATTTTCGTATTGTTGCTAGAACAAAATGTTTCATAATTATGATTTGTTTTTCGCCTCTCATCACGCTCGTAATGTTAAAACTTTTTAACTACAGGGTGTCCCAAAAACATGGGAATTCAGTGACGAATTCGATATCGTCTTTTCAAATAATTCTTTGATTTAGTATCGTGATACCTACTGAGAAAGTTGTAATCTGTAAGAGTTTCGTCTGCCATGTTCACATTTTGTTTGTTTATGTTTTGACTGCACACGGTTGTACTTAGTAAAACAAGAAAATTGCAGTATTACAAACAGAGTAAACTTGTCCGTCTTCACTGTTCATCTTGCGGGGACATTATAGACACATCTTTTCAGTCTTTTACCCTTTCCATAAAATAAATTCTAGCAGACCTAATAAAATTATGGCTGTTGAAATTAGGTATTACAATGCTAATTCATAACAAAGACGATATCGAATTCGTCAATGAATTCCCATGTTTTTTGGGACACCCTGTATATAAAACCCAGTTTGTCATTTCATACTGTACACCATTTTTATTGCGAAACCCGACATTTCTCACAATATTCTATTGCTTTTTATGCTAAACTACAATTTTAAGCAATTTTGATAAAACCCTTCACCCTCAGTCCGTCCAGTGACTATAATGATTAATTACATACATGATGATTCACAAACGAATTTATTGATAATTAAGTTGTTGCTAATTTGCTCCATGACTTTTTTTCGTGAGTTCTTCTTTTAAAGTCATAAATACATTATTTAGCATTGTAAAGTCAAGGATTCAGGAGACGCAAGATCAAAAAGTGATAAATGTTACAATCGTGACAATGAGTGTCAGGTATTGATACGAATAATATAATTCACGTTTTTAAAACTGCTTCAGTGTTCACAGTAATTTCGTTCAGGTAAACTTTTTCAAAAAAATCATAACTGTAGGAGCTTATTTATTTTTAATAAAGAACCCATAACATTTTTTAAATATTTTTTTTTCACAAACCTCACAAATTGGAATCTTTTTTTTGGAACATAACCAAGTTTGTTTAACAATTCATATGAAAAATTATAACGATCATTTTTCTTATAAAATTTTTAGTTTTCATAATCTTGCCCCTACTCCCCCCACCTGACTAAAATCCTGAATACATGTCTGAGAAAAAGATGATTTTTAAATTCCCGCGTTTTTATGAAATGAAATGTTTATATTCAAATTTGTATAACATACTAATATAATGGTTACAGATCTTCATTTTTAAATATGATTTTACATCTTGTCCCAAAATCAGAATATGTTTTAAAACGCATAAAAAGTATAGAAAATAGCGATGACTATAGTACACTGACATTTGAATTTTTCCTCTAAAAATGTAGTCTAAACTATTTTTCATAAAATTCTGCAGACAGTTTTTACTTTTCGGCCTAAATTGAAAGATAGTTATAAAAGATAACATTGTTCTTTGACCCAAACTTGACAACTCAGTGTCAGATCTGGGTCAAATGACCATTTGGAAATATATTCCTCTGGAATTCTCAAGACGTAATTTCAAGCGACCCTCCATGTATTTAGTGGCATGTTCGATGAGTTCGATGGTACCCTTTAAACCATTAAAAGGCATCACTTTTTGGACACAAAAAGGATGAAATAACTACATAATTTTCACCCTTCACAGAAAGGTTTCAAGAGTACCGTTGTACGTCGGACAAGCCACACTTACCACAAATGTAGGGTCACTCAAAATTTCATTTGAAAACTCCCGAAACTGGAAAACGGTTTTTTTTAAACTTTTCAAAATGAATAAAAATTATTTTTTCAAAGAATACACATAAAGGAATTATTGTCATCTTCTCTCCTTCGCCATTTAGAAATGTTGCAGAAAATTTGGTTTATTCATCTTTTCATTCTATCATAATTCAAGATCATAAATATTTGATGTATTTTTTTGCTATTTGAAACCATAAAATTAAGTTTCCACTTAATGTTTTTTTTTTCAAATCTGTAGTTTTCCAATTTTTCCAATTTCTCAGATTTTTGCTGAGCCTTTTGGAAATAAAAAAAAAACCTTGAATGTTTGAAAACAAAACAATAAAACGATGCTCTACACTATGTATGACGTAGGACTATTGAATATGGTGTTCTCCAATATCTTCTCATTTATGTATTTTTCATGATGAGAAAACACAATGAGAGCGTTGATTAGATATGCTTCTAAACATACCTCCAAATAATGTTAATTTATATTTTTGTTTGTTGATCATAAACTATAGATAATATCAGTCTTTTGTCTGATATATGATGAAATATGAATTGTATCAGTTCTTTCATCTCGGACAGTTTTCTAATATGTAAAAATGTCAATAAACAATAAATAATAAAATGTGTCTCCTAGAATAGATGTTCAAAATCTCCTAGTATAGATATCCAATATCTCCTTGAAGATATTCAATATCTCCTAGTATAGATATCCAATATCTCCTAGAATAGATGTTCAAAATCTCCTAGTATAGATATCCAATATCTCCTAGAAGATATTCAATATCTCCTAGTATAGAAATCCAATATCTCCTAGAATAGATGTTCAAAATCTCCTAGTATTGATATACAATGTCTCCTAGAAGATATTCAATATCTCCTAGTATAGATATCCAATATCTCCTAGAATATATATCCAATATCTCCTAGAATAGATATCCAATAGATATGTAATTTTTCCCTGAAAAAGCTATCCTTTTATTCCCTGTAATAGATATCCTATTATTCCCTAAAATAGATATCCTATTAATCCCTGGAACAGATATCCTATTTATCTCTGGAATACATATTCTATTAATCCCTGGAATAGATATCCTATTAATCCCTGGAATAGATATCCTTTTATTCCCTGTACTAGATATCCTATTATTCCCTTTGAATAGATAACTAATTATTCCCTTTGAATAGATATCTAATGATTCCCTTTGAATAGATATCTAATTATTCCCTTTGAATATATATCTAATTATTCCCTTTGAATAGATATCTAATTATTCCCTTTGAATAGATATCTAATTATTCCCTTTGAATAGATAACTAATTATTCCCTTTGAATAGATATCTAATTATTCCCTTTGAATAGATATCTAATTATTCCCTTTGAATAGATAACTAATTATTCCCTTTGAATAGATATCTAATTATTCCCTTTGAATAGATATCTAATTATTCCCTTTGAATAGATACAAAATTATTTCCTTGATGTTTGTTTGTTTACTAGAACTGGAGGTTAAAACTAGGAAAAAATGTCCTTAAAATGTAAACTCCGGAATTCATAGAAAAGATTTTACAATGTTGAATGCGGAATATTCTGGTCTTGTTTAAGCATGGGAATTAAGAGAATTCCTATAGTTTATAAATGACAAAGAGTGTATCGAAATAAAAACTTAAAAAAGCGTTATGAGAAAAATAAGTGAGGTCTGCATTCTTTGTATCTTTGACGGAGAAATTAAACTTGTAAACGATTTCGTTGTTATTTAATAGACTAGAATCTGGACAGATTTCAATTTCATAGTATCTCCGTCAATTTTGAAGGTGAAAATATGATAAACCACATTTTGGAATTCCCATGACTAGTAGTTCTAATACATGTTTTAACTGTAATACTACAAAAATTGTGTTCACGTAAAAATGCCATGCGGAACAAAGACGAGAGATAAGTTAATTAATGCCAATGTTTATTGGGACACTCTGTACCATACAAACATGCTGTATAATTCAAGTTTATAATATTCTTTTCAAATATTTTCTTTTCATCCACATTCTAAAATTGAGTCTTGACTCTTCACCCATATCTTTAAATTGAGTCTTGACTCTTCACCCATATCTTTAAATTGAGTCTAGCGTAATTTCAAGTGATTAGTCATTTAAAGAGGGTTAGCAATTTAGCATTAGCAATTGTACCTAACCTTCGCCTCACATAAAAAGATAAGATCATAAATGTTTTATCCTAAAATTTAAATATTAAATTCAAATTTAATAATTCAATAGAATTCATCACTTTTTAGATAGAAAAACAACGTTATCTTCCTCATTGTTGCTCAGATAAAGGAGTTAAGGTTGTGAATCGGACAGGCAGTTCTTTAATTAGGAAGTCAATTTACGTTTGGTCTAAAGCCTCACTAAAATTGATTCTAGTTTCTTATCAGCAAAGGTCTTTATCCTAGGTCAAAGTTCAGCTGAGGTCAGCTAAGGTCTTCATCCTACCCTGAAATTGAGGTTAGCTGAGTCTTCATCCTATCCTGTAATTGAGGTTAGCTAAGTCTTCATCCTACCCTGAAATTGAGGTTAGCTGAGTCTTCATCCTATCCTGTAATTGAGGTTAGCTAAGTCTTCATCCTACCCTGAAGTTGAGGTTAGCTAAGTCTTCATCCTACCCTGAAGTTGAGGTTAGCTAAGTCTTCATCCTACCCTGAAATTAAGGTTTGCAGCTAAGGTCTTCATCCGTCTCAGAAATTGAGGTTAGCTAAGGTCTCTATCGATGTATCTTGAAATTGCGGCCGGAAAGGGGCTTAATTTTACTCTGAAAATGAGGCCAGCCAAGGTCTTAATTCTACCCTGAAATTGAGGTCAGCCAAGGTCTTAATTCTACCCTGAAATTGAGGTCAGTCAAGTTTTCATCCTACCCTGAAATTGAGGTCACCAAAGGTCTTGATCCGACCTCGAAATTGAGGTCAGCTAAGGTCTTTATCGTATCCTGAAATTGAGGTCAAATGAGGTCTTCATCCTTCCCCGAAATTGAGGTCAGATGAGGTATTCATCCATCCCCGAAATGAAGGTTAGCTAAGGTTTCATCCTACCCTGAAATTGGGGTTAGATGAGGTCTTTATCCTACCCTGAAATTGAGGTTAGATTAGGTATTCATCCATCCTCAAAATTGAGGTCAGCTAAGTCTTCATCCATCCTCAAAATTGAGGTCAGATGAGGTCTGCATCCTATTCTGAAAAATGGAGGTAGAACTTCTCGTTTTGAGGTCAGCTGAGACGGTGTCGTGGATTGCTTGAAGAAAACATTTCATTAGAAAACAGACAAACCTGCAACTCATACCATTTATCTTCGTTCTTCTAAACTATCCTAATCCTTTCCTTCTCTCTGCTTTAAACTTCTCTATCCGTATATTTTATTAATTCTTATTCTGCTTTTGGTTTCCATCTTTCTTTTTCTACGTTTTTCTTTTAGTCATTGCTCTTTTCCATCTTTCTAATTAATTCATATTCTTCCTTATTTCCTAACTCTTTCTTATTTATCTTTCATTGTTTCCTAATTTTATTAATTTAGTTAATTTAGTTCTGATTAGTATATTAACATATTACTAATATTTCAACTTTAAATATTGTTGAAATATCTGACTAATTGTCATTTATGTAAAGTTGGTTCTACACATATTCATCCCTGAAATGTATGTAAGTATTGTTGAAGGGGAAAATATTCAGCCTGATTGTAGTCCAGCCTCGTGAGGGTTTATATCCTCTGAGGCAGGGTAGAGAGCTGCCTCCGACCTCCTCTCTCTGGTTTAGTGTAGAACCAGACCTGGAGCTAACTCATGTTTCTCCGACCTTAACCTTTATACATGTCGCCTTATACATACACAGTTTTTAGTCACCAACGGTTCAATCAGCAAAAGATAATTTTATATAATTAGTATTGGTCTTAGTAATGTTTATTCACAAAACAATTAGAGTTCAAACTAAACTGTCATAAGTTTTTTCAAGGGTATAAGTTCCATATTGGAGAGAAACTGCTCAGCTGATCAGAGTTTATGTAGGATATATTATAATATCAGAGCATATGATACAGAACTATTAGAAATACTGATAAGATGGTAAAAGGGGACTAGTTTTAAACATAACTATTGTGGACATTAGTGGACGCTAACTAGAGGAAATTAGCGCATACTAGAGGATACTAGAGTATACTAGAGGATACTAGAGGATACTAGAGGATATTAGAGGATACTAGAGGATACTAAAGGATACTAGAGGATACTAGAGGATGCTAGAGGATACTAGAGGATACTAAAGGATACTAGAGGATACTAAAGGATACTAGAGGATACTATAGGATACTATAGAGGATACTAGAGGATACTAGAGGATACTAGGATACTAGAGGACACTAAAAAATACTAGAGAATACTAGAGGATACTAGAGGATACTAGAGGACACTAAAAGATACTAGAGAATACTATAGGATGATGATACCAGAGGATACTAGAGGATACTAAAGGATACTAGAGGATACTAGAGGATACTAAAGGATACTAGAGGATACTAGTGGATACTAGAGGATATTAGAGGATACTAGAGGATACTAGGATACTAGAGGACACTAAAAGATACTAGAGAATACTAGAGGATACTAGAGGATACTATAGATGATACCAGAGGATACTTGAGGATACTAAAGGATACTAAAGGATACTAAAGGATACTAGAGGATATTAGAGGATACTAGAGGATACTAGAGGATACTAGAGGATACTAGGATACTAGAGGATACTAGAGGATACTAGAGGATAATAGAGGATAATAGAGGATAATAGAGGATACTAGAGGATACTAAAGGATATTAGAGGATACTAGAGGATACAAGAGAATATTAGAGGATACTAGAGGATACTAGAGGATACTAGGATACTAGAGGACACTAAAAGATACTAGAGAATACTATAGGATACTATAGATGATACCAGAGGATACTTGAGGGTACTTGGGGATACTTGAATATTGTAGGGAATAGTGAATACTAACTAATGAAGAAATTAATGATTGCAATTATGGAAGGTTTGAATCTACAGGTGTGAGACTGTCTAGTGTCTAGTGTAGGAGTATTGAATAATCTATATTGATATAACACTTGCACTTATCTTTCACAAATAAAACATACACAATACATATTACATATATTATATTTACCATTTTAGCTTTCTTTAAAAATAAGCTAAACATTTACTTCACAAGTTTAATTCTCTCGAAACAGATAATTTATTATTATTTTCATTGCTAGACATATATTATATTTACCATTTTAGCTTTCTTGCTAGTTTGTTTAATGAACTAAATATTACTGGGTTGTAAAATCGAATATAAAATATTGAATTGTTTTGAATTAGATTTTATATTAATGGATTGTATAATGGAGTTTATATTACTGGATTTTATAATGAAGTTTATATTAATGGATTGTACAGTGGAGAATATATCATTTGATTGTAAATATCATTTAATATTACTGGGTTGTAAAATGGAATATAAGAAATTGGATTATATAATATTAGAGCTATATTAATGGATTGTATAATGGAGTTTACATTAATGGATTGTATAATGGAGTTTATTTTAGTGGATTGTGTATTGGAGTTGACATTAGTGGACTGTGTAATGGAGTTGACATTAATAGATTATATAGAGGAGTTTATATTAGTGAATTGTATAATGGAGTTTATATAAGTGGATTGTATAATCGAGTTTATTTTGGTGGATTGTGTAATGGAGTTGACATTAGTGGACTGTGTAATGGAGTTTACATTAATAGATTGTATAGTGGAGTTTATATTAGTGGATTGTATAATGGAATTTATATCACTGGATTGTATATTGAAGTTTATATTAATGGATTGTATAACGGAGTTTATAATAGTGGATTGTTTAATGGAGTTTACATTAGTGGATTATTAATGGAGTTTATATTAGTGGATTGTATAATGAAATTTATATTACTGGATTGTATGATGAAGTTTAAATTAGTGGATTGTATAATGGAGTTTGAATTAATGGATTGTGTAATGAAGTTATATTAATGGATTGTATAGTGGAGTTTATATAAATGGATTGTAGAATGGAGTTTATATTAGTGGATTGTATAGTGGAGTTTATATTATAGTGGATTGTGCAATGGAGTTGACATTAGTTTTTTCCAAGTAGGCGAGAAAAAAAACCTTTTTATAATCCTTAATTAAACAGTTTTCTGCCTGTCATTAGCAGACCTGAGGCCTCTAATTAGTTTTATTATCCTGGTCGTCCAATTATAAATTCACCCTCTACTAATTAATAGCCAACATTTTTTTTAGGCTTTTAACGAATCTTTAAATACCATTTAAAGCTATTTTGTAAAGGTATCCGAAATGGGTATCCTATATTTGAAGAAAATATAGATTGATTTAAATATGAAGTTTTTCATTTTGAAATTTGGCCCGGGAAAAAATTAACGTTTAAATTTTTTTTGTTTTGGGTAGGATAAGTTTCCCTAACTGGGTTCTCTTTAAAATTTGAATACAGGGTGTTCCACGAGACATCTACTTTAACATATATGATTATTAAAACAATAACCTCACAATTCTCCTTGTCCTCACATTTCAAAAATGTGGTCTGCCTTTTTTGTGCTGTCAGTATTACCGGAGATATTTAGAATTTTGTTCAGATTTAAATTTTATTAAATAAAACCAAAATTGTCGAAATCTGAACGAAATTCTTCATATTTCCGGTAATATTGAACGCAGACCACATTTTGGAAATGCCAAGATTAGAAATATTTTGTGATTATTAACTGTAGAATTTTACTTTTAAAATTGGGTGGACAAAAAATTCCACAGATTTTTTCAACGATCAAAGACAGCCTTCAATTCGTCTTACTGCTGTCATGTACTGTACATTGCTGGTTTTATCCATAATCTTAATAAATTAGTCTAAATTAACTATTTTCTCATTAAAACGACTTAAAGAATATTTCTCTGAACTCCTTACTGCTGCTAGCTCTTAAGTAATTACTTGCATTTTGTTTTGAAAGGAAAAAAATACTTGCGCATCTCTTGCTTATAAGAAACAGGGGAGAAATTCACAGGAATAAACACTTTTTGAGTCAGAAAAACGACATTATCTTCCACATTTTTGATCAGATTAAGGATTTAATGGTACCGTTGATAATTGGACATACATTTATATCTTTGCATTCAGTTTCACTTGAAATTACGCTTACAGTCCATTTAATGCTAGAACATATAGACCTCTCCTCTACATAAAATATATTTAATGCTAAAACATATAGACGTCTCCTCTACATAAAATATATCTAATGCTAAAACATATAGATGTTTTTAAATTCTAACTCTCCTCTATAAAAACTATACTCACGCCCACATGAAAACAATGTTTTTCAACTGTTTTTTTCCTGAAGAAAACGTTATATATCCGTTTAATTTTTATGCTAAGAATGTCTGGCTGCGTGTTTAATATATTAAAGTTCAGTTTGCTGTATGCTAGATCTTCCTTTAGTTAAATTAGAAACAGTCAATGTTTATTTCATTAATTTCTATCTTTATTTACATCTATAGTGGTTTGTGGTTAATTAAAAAACAGCAGTTCTTTTACAACCTATATACAGTACAAAAAAAGCTTGAGTTTTGTCAATTTTTTTATGCGTCTATATTAGATAGGTCAGACATATTCATAGAAGGGCTCCTGAGCCTATAAAGTATGGCCTTTCGTTTTTTTTATCTTCTTCATGTAACAGGTAAAAGAATTTAATTCCAGGTTAAAAAAATATGGTATTAATTGCTTAAAGTATGTAATTAGTAAGAACAGACAGTATTGTACAATATTGTACAATACTGATGACCTAGAGCTAGCTAAGAGTAGTCTTATTCTTCTTAGTCTTATTCTTCTTAGTCTTCCATAAAATTTTTCATAGTGCATACAGTGATAACCAGAAAACAATGGAATAGGAAGACGACATTATAGAAATACTTAAGTTTATTTGATCTTGTTACAAAGCAAAAAGTTCTACTTAACACTTATTAATCACCAAATTAGATAATGGGTCTGTTTACACTGCACAACTGCTGTTTCTCATGCTCATTGGACTTTCTAAAGTTATAACTTGAGTCTAAAAATCGTTTACATATTTCAGAGTTTTCTGGTTTATAATATTAATATTTCAGATTCTTGAATGCTTCAGTAAGTTTCAAGAAGATCAACTAGAAGAAAAATGAAAACGGCAAAAGGTTAGCTAAGCTCATTAATTGCTTAAATCTCCCCCGACCCTTTTCATTCCACATACAGCACTTGCCCAAACAAGTAGAATTAAACACCACAAAGTTCTTTATTACTTAAATTAAGACGGTTTAGAGGTTTAGAAACAAACTAAAGTTTAATGTATAAATTAAGGAAGCTTTCTACCAGTTTAAGATTAACCCTGGAGCGGGCCTGCAATCTCGAGGATATTATGAATGAGCGGAAATAAAAAATGTCTAGTCTGAAGATGAAGAAATTCCCAACAATAAAGGTAACTTTTAATCAATCAATGGTTTTATGTTTTTATCGTGGTCATTCATTTTGTTCTTGTTGGAGTGATTTTTTTCTTTTCATAGTTTTCTGGTTATTTTAGACCTTGTTGAAGTTTTTTCATGATCTTACTATTTTTTGTTTCACTTTCTAAAGGTTTTTACTTTTTTACTTTTTTACTTGTCTTTTTCTTAACTTTGTTGGTTTCCTTTTTATGTATCATCTGTTGTTTTTTGCCTTTATCGTTCGATATTTTTAATTCATTAGATTAAAATAATATTTTATATTTAGGGTGTGTTTGAGAATATCAGGGGAAGTGTGAGCAGTGGAGAGAAATCTGGTAGGTTTGATGTTTAAACAGTGTTGGAGTAATCCGAAGAAGTTTTAAAGAGAAAAAATGTATTACGTTTCCAAGACTTAAAACAATATCTTGCGGGAACTTTTAAAACACAATAATTTCCTAGGGGAAGGGAAATCTATAAACAATTGTACAATATACAAAACTTAAAGAGGCGTTATTTTAAGTAGCCTTGCAAGTATACATTACATACATGTTAGATTCCCGACGGTATCATTAAAAGCTTTTTCGGATCAAGTATAAATTATATATCATTATTTAACTTTAAAACTGAATATTTTCAATTGTGGTTTCTCTACAAAAATGACTTGCGCATTTATGCTGCAGGAAAACATTTCGAATCAGACTTTTCAAGCTAGAAAAATGACATTATCTTTAGCATTGTTAATCAGAAACGGTTTCAGTGTACTGGACTTACCACTCTTTCAATGCAATTACGTGAACAGCCCTTTTAAGTATCTTTTTCAGCCAAAATTTGTCGAAAGAACCCTTGGTTGAGTAAAACTGATAAATTAAAGAAAAAGTAGTTGACAATATTATCGTCTTTTGAGATGAACATGCGCAAATTTTTTATTATAACTTTGCAGAGCGGGTTGTTATTTTACTTAATTATCCCAAGGTACGTTAAGTAACTTAATGTTCCTCTGTTGGGTTGGGTCATGGGTCGGTAATCTTGGTCAAAAGGCGGTAAAATACTTTATTTGTATGTATTCCAGTGGATATAAAAAAAAAACACCTTTTTTGTTCACTGAAATTGTACAAAAATAAAAAATGTGATATGCTTTTTGTCGCAGAGAAAAAATAATTTTTTTTTAAATTGAAGAGTTTAAAAATCCAACAACAAAATACTAGCGTGTTAAAAACATTATTTATATTTTTGTTCGAAACAAAAGTTTTTCATAATTAACATGTTTTGCTAATATTTATTTTTTTCTTTCCTCCAACTTTTGCTCCATAAAAATTTTTTTTTATCATAAGCCAAAACATTTATTAAATTGAAATTTAAACGATCATTCAGTTGTAACTAAAAAATGTGGAATGATTGTTGTCCTCGTGCTTTTCTTTATATAAGAACAGCCGCTAAGGAGTTTTTAGTTTGTTATTGTTTATTGTCACTCATATTTTAATTATTTGTGCATTTATAGAAAAATTGAATATTTTTCAATATGTATTTTTAAAAACTGAAAGTGAAGTTTCTTGCCTGTTAAAAGGCTCCTAACATGATTTAAAACATGTTTTTATTTGTTTTTATTTATTTCATTATTTTTTTTTGTGTTCAAAAGGAAATTAGTTTTTCGGGTTTTCAAAAAAATGCCTTTAATTGTGTTTTTTCTTGGTTTTTGTATTTTTTGTTTTCTTTAGTTGGTATTATTTTCAGCCACATCCTGGTTTACTTCCTTATTTAGTTCTAGCCATCCTGATGGTAAGATGCTATTTTTGTTTTTATTTTTTTTAATTTTTTTCAAATATTTTTATATTTCTTTCTTTTAAAACTAGAGAGTTGAGAAAGATTTGTTCAGGAATCCCAGCTCGGTTAGAGAGTGAGATAATCGAGGCTCTAGTCCCAGACTATTTCCGGTTGGAGAAAACCAGTCTGCATGGGTTCCCATTTAAACCAACTGCCGCGGCATTTGATCCTGTTCAAAAGGTTCTCGCTATTGGGAATAGGTATGTCGTCTTCCATATTTCAAACAGTGTACACTCTAATTTGTAGGCAATTAGAACACTATTTTAGAGATAAACACACGGATAACTTTGCCCTCAGGTGCGCTCCTATTGTATATAAAAAAATTTTATTTTGCATTTTTATAGATATATTTGATAATATTATTTCATATAGTCAATATGTCCGTATTACGTCACCAGAACTTCAGCCAATGGCAGTGCAGTAGACTGGTCACGTTACTTTCGTCTGTATCAAGCAAGTTCTGGTGACGTAATACAGAGTATACGGACTATATGTAATAATATTATCAATTTTATCTATTAAAAATGCAAAATAAAAATTAAAAAATTATAACTGGAGCAAACCTGAGATTCTCAGGCTCCCCTGGGATATAATCGTTTTCATCGATTGGTTGCGTATTTGCTGAAAAATGATCTATTTAAACCTACTACTTTAATACAAAATTGTATATTTATGAATTTTTTTATAATTTTGGTACAGTTTTATATCAATTTCTTGAGACAGGAACATCAGATAGGCGACTTATTTGTATCGTTCAACGTTCATCCTATACCCCTTTTCATTTTTCCTTTACAGTCCCTTAAGCAAAAAAATTAAAAAAATTGAATAAAAAAAAATTAAATTAGATCAATATTTTCAATTTGTTCTAATAGTTTTATTTATAATTTTACTTTTGAAATAATAATAAAGAAATGATTAATAGTGACACTTCATTCTAAAGATGTAAAATATAGAATAGAACATTTGCTTTATAGAAGGACCATTTTCATAGTTTTTTTATGATATAAATATTTTCAATTTTTACTCCATATTACATAGAAAAATTTTTCTTTTAAATTTAGAACAATCCCTTTAACTTGGTAAATATTAAGGCATGGAAGCGTACGGTTGCTTGGAAGACCGGGGTTAGACATTACTTTTCATCATGACTCCCGAAGGTAAAAAAAATTAGGTTTGATTTCCAAGTTAGTTTGTGATATTTTCATTGTTGGGGAATTCATTAAAACTTTTTGTGAAAGTTAAAAACAAAAGAAAAAACTTATAGTTTTTCCACCAATATGTTTTGTCTTATATCTCAAACGTTTGATTATATGCGGAATACAACACCAAAAATATGGACGCGGTACATAATTCAATTACAAGCAAAGTAAATATAAAGATATTATACTATACATAGATATCTTACATATCTCAAGTAAACAAATATTTATTTACAAGGTAATAAAATCATAAGTCAAATAACCTCTATTACATTTAGTCTAATACCTTTATTCAACATACAGTACATAATCATAAATTTAAATATAACAAAACAACAGTTAACTAGGAGGGAGATTCTCTTTATCAGCACTTACATACAGTACATAATCATAAATTTAAATATAACAAAACAACAGTTAACTAGGAGGGAGATTCTATTTATTCAACATACAGTACATAATCATAAATTTAAATATAACAAAACAACAGTTAACTAGGAGGGAGATTCTCTTTATCAGCACTTAACTATATGTGTAACACAACTGTTTGCCAACTAGCTAACAAAAGGAATCGGACCGGTCACATGGCTCAAAGGAATTGAGTCTTTGCCACAAACTCTGAATTTCTAATCACTATATCTTTGGAACCAAAAATTGTAGACCTTAGATATTTCAAACTATGAATTCTTTTAAATCAAATAATCTGAGTTTGAAATGTCAAAGGTTTACAAGATCGGGTTCTAAAGATATTAGGGTTTAAACATTTGATTTTGTTCCAAAGACTCAATTCCTTTGGTCAAATTGAAAACCTTGACCTAGAAGAGATTGTAATGGCATACCCCCCCCCCCCCATAGGTCAAGGAGCTTTTGAACACCTCCTTAGTTTCATGAATGAATAAAAGACTAGAAAACTAGACTACCAGAAAAAAGAGTTACATATTAGTTCGAATTTCTGATAATGAAAATGAAAACATAAAGATGTAATTATTTTTGAAATATTTTTTTGTCAGAAACAATTTCTTTCCACATAATTAATTTTTTTTTTTTCATTATTAAGACCAAGTTAATAGGATGAGCATACATGGACGACAATTGATTCTTTTGTTATTGCGAGAGATTAAACATGACTAAATTATAAAGAAAGCGATTAATAGTATACTAATTTAACTGTTTGGGCCTTGACCAATATTTGACCATTTAAACGTTAGTTTTTCGTGTTTTGTTCAAATGCTTTTTAAATGAAAAAGTAAATATGCAACCTAGATTGTTAAAAATAATTGTCAAACCCCATATTTAAAACACCATTAATTAAAATTCAAAATAGTGTGTAAACCCTGATGGAAAAGAAAAAGCTGTAAAAATGAATGTTTTCTCTTCAGTTTCAAGATTTTTTTCTTAAAGTTGATTTTTGGAAAAACTTATTTGTTTTTAAAAAGTTAAATGCTGATGAGTTCTGTGGGATGATGTGAGATGTTTGGTCTACCGTAAAATCCAGAGATAAATTCAAGGATACTCGGGGGGAGGAAAACTTAAGCTGCCAACTTTTCCAGAAGCAATTCTAAGTTGAAGCATTTCTCGAAATGTCTCCTTTAAACAATTAACACATCAATGTACGTACATGAGTAGAAAAAATGTCAGTGGAAAAGATTACATTGAGGAGGAGAGCTAAATAATGGATAACTTCTGTTTAATAATTTAGTCAGCAAAAAGTTCTATTATCTGAATCATCTATTTGACAGTCGACGAGAATTATAGTTTTTCTATTGGAAGCAAAAAGTATCTACAGTGAAACCCTAATAACGAATACATCGGAAGAATTTATCAAATGTCGTCTTGACAATTTTTCAATGAGTTTTATACTTTATTACGTAAATTTCAGTATTTGCGAAAATAAATAAATAGCCATGAATATGCGGGAACAGTTTTAAAGAGTTCCATATAATCACTTAATTAAAAAAACTAAATATCTGCAACATTCCATTATCAGAAAGTGAAGAATACGACATTTGATGAATTCTTTCGATGTATTCTTTATTTAGGGTTTCACTGTATAAAACATATATTCCTATTAATTTTCTCGTGCTTGGAACTATCATTTTTTTCTTTTCCTAATCAATACTTTTGTCTAATGAATAGTGTGTAGTATAATTAACATCGATACATTTTTTATAAGCTTGGTTTAGTGTGTTTCTAAGACTAAAAGAGTGACATTTGATCGTCGAACCATAAACAATCCACTGATCATAAATATTTTCGTTTTGATATCAATACAGTGTCAGTTACTAAAATGGTGATATAATACAATTTCAGTACCTGATCATTCGTTGGTATACACAGTATAAACCAACTATTATGTGTTGAACTACAGTATTGAAATATATGAATGTATTTGTATATATTAAGTGCTGTTATACAATTTCTAAATGTATTTATATATATCAAGTGCTGTGATACAACTCCTATATGTATTTATATAGATCAAGTGCTGTGATACAACTCCTATATATATTTATATATATTAGGTGCTGTGATACAACTCCTATATGTATTTATATATATTAAGTGCTGTGATACAACTCCTATATGTATTTATATATATTAAGTGCTGTGATACAACTCCTATATGTATTTATATATATTAAGTGCTGTGATACAACTACTATATGTATTTATATAGATTAATGCAGTGATACAACTCCTATATGTATTTATATATATTAAGTGCTGTGATACAACTCCTATATGTATTTATATAGATTAATGCAGTGATACAACTCCTATATATATTTATATATATTAAGTTCTGTGATACAACTGCTATGGCTGGTGAACACTGGTCAGCTGATATCTGCGTGTTGTGATGACACTATTTACCTTTGGGACGTGAGGTAGTAATTCATCTTATATTCTTTTAATTCATCTTATACTCATTTAAGTAATTCATCTTATATTCATTTAAGTAATTCATCTTATATTCATTTAAGTAATTCATCTTATATTCATTTACCAGAGAACGGGAACTTTGTGTTGGATGCTTATAATACGGATAGCTTGATCTCGATAACCACTGGGGGCACTTTTACTTTAGGGATCAATCTCTTCATTTCAGTTATTCCTCTGCTTTTCAAAGCTCCCTTCAATCTCTAATCAAAGCTTCCCCTTCAATTATTCAATGATTACTATGCTGTATATCGAATAAAGATTAAATTAATTTAGCTGATTAACAAAAGATCGAGATTAAGCATGCACAATACAAAAGCTCCCAGCTTAGAGGTCAAAATTGTCGTTTTCTAAATCCTACGATCAAATACTTGTCCTTATCTTTTGTTGTCAGAAATATTATGATAATTTTTATTGGATATCCCGCGAAGTCGAAACTCAGCAGAGATGAATATGATATTAGGGATCAAGCAATTATTCTTTAATTTAAAGTTGCCACTGTGGATATCGGGATCTGGGCACAAAATTTTCGACCTCAGAAAACAGTTAAATTGTCTTTGCAAAATAAGTAATGAAAATATAACAAGTTAACACCTTGTTTTGAATCTACGATTAGATCTTACTTCTGATTAAAATTAGAACCTGTTTATTTTTATAAAAAATAATTTGGATTTGTGAAGGTATTCAGACAATTTATAATGAAAAGAAAGAAATTTATAATGTATATATTAGCTTTTAAAATGTTAAAAAAAAATTTGAATTCCTATATCTTTATAAAAAATGTAAGCCTTTGATATTTTAGAATTCATAATTTGAAATATAAAAATCTACAACATCAGGTGGCAAAGATACAAGAGATGGAATTTAAAGAATTTGAGCCGCGGTTTAAATCTACCAAAACCCGGTTTAAATTTAGCGCCGGCTTAAATCTTGAAACATTTGATACAATTTGAAGTGAAACCAATCATATTTAAGCCGCGGCTTAAATTTAAACCGCCGCTCAAATTCTTTAAATTCGGCCAAAGGATATGAAAATTTGAGTGAGAGTAAAATATCTTGATCCAAATTCCAAACATCAATATGTAATATTATTATTTCAGGAAAAGTGAAATTGAATTATTGCAAAGTTTGCGATTCAACCGAGAAAGCATAACATGTATATATTCAGGTGGGAAAATTCAATAATAATTTCAAACTTTGGTAAAAATAAAAAATAAAAATATTTGCGTATTTTGTTCTTTCATGCAACAAATGCAAAATATATCTTCTTCTTTTTTAATTAGGATAAGCACATAATTAATTCGTATGTTTTGCATCGTACTAATTACAAACATTTGTTTCTTAAAGGGACTAAAGTTGTAATTAAAAGTGACCCTCTAGTTATAAAGTGGCATGTCGGATTCAAATCGGTACCCTTTGACCCAGGAATGAATGAGATATCATAGTGTTTCTATCTTAAAGTTGGTTATTTTCAAATGTGGTTTCTATGTTTAAGGGATTTGCGGATTTTCGCAACAACTATATCTTTCTGATTGATACTCAAATAATGGTTTAAAGGGCGGCCGTTGTTAATCGGACATATCATTTGAGAGTAGGAGGGTTAATCAATTTCACGTCTATAATCCCTTTAACCTATTTTAAAATTTATAATCTGGCTGTTTTTTGTGATATAACATGATTTTGTGATATAACATGTTTTTGTGATATAACATGTTTTTGTGATATAACATGTTTTTGTGTATAATAACATACATAAAGGATGAATGATACATACATTCATTTATTATACTTGTATTTGAAATTGTCCAGGCTTCATTATATATAATAAGAATACAGTTAATGATGGACCAATAATAAATATTCCATGTGCTTTTTTAGAAAAAAAAAACTATTTATTTCCTAATAAATATTGATTTCTCGGTTTTGGGTAATCTTTAAAAAAGTATTAAGGGCACATGGAATATGCCAGCCCCCACAAAAAGATTGGGGTTTTTTGGTTCAGCCTTGTTGACTAATGTACATGCAAATAAACAAACAAGGCAATTTTGATCAAAATTTAATCGTACTTCTTTTTTCTATACTAACAATTATAGTTAGACCCATAATACTGTTGTATAGGAAGACGACAATTAAAAGGGTTGTAAAGGAAAAATGAAAGGGGGTATAGGCTGAATCCTGAGCATTTCAGGAATTAGTCGAGACCTAAAAGAGTTACATCTGATGTTCCTGTCTCGAGAAATTTATATAAAACTGTGTCAAAATTATACCAAAACTTATAATGTAAAATTTAATGTAAGGTTCTAATTTTTTAAATAGATCATATTCAGCAAATACGCAAACAATTTGAAAACGACGATATACCTGAGGAGCCTGAAAAATTCAGGTTTGCTCCTATTATTAGAGACTGAGACACGTGACAATAATACTGCACTGTCATTGGTGGGAGTTCTGGTCACGTGACACGGACGTATTAATTACATTATTAATTGTATCTATTAAAAATGAAAAATTATTAAATTCAAATAATAATGGGAGCAAATCTGAGATTTTCAGGCTTCTCTGGGATATCGTCGTTTTCAAATTGGTTGCGTATTTGCTGAATATGATCTATTTAGAACTTAGAACCTTACATCAAATTTTACATATATATATATGTTTTGGTATAGGTTTGACAAAGTTTTATATCGATTTCTCGAGACAGGAACATCAGATAGAACTCTTGCCTCGATCAACCCCTGAAATGCTCAGGTTTCAGCCTATACCTCCTTTCATTTTTCCTTTACAGTCCCCTTAAACAATAATTAAGTGTCTTTTATGTTGTTACAATTCAAATAGTTTAACTTATTATATCACATATAAATTAAAATGGGTCTGTTCACACTGCACAAATGTTGTTGCTCATGTTCAATGGACTCTTTGTTGTCAAAGCTTGAGTCTAAAAATAGTTTTCTGGTTATTTTATATTTTTATATAGCAAATAGGATTACCAGTACTCAATAGCTTTAAAAATAACTTATAAAGTGAAATGGATCTGTAAGCACTACAAAACTGTTGTGTTTAATGTTCATAGGACTTTTTAAAATCATAACTTGAGTCTAAAAGTCTTCTACCTTTTCTAAAGATTTTGTAATATATATTTAGTTTAATTAATTAGTTACAGTTCTCGTAGGGACTGTCAAGAATAATTATAATTAACGCTTTTAATTAATTTCATGGAGAACATGAACTCTCTTATAATATTTTTAAATAAATATGAAGTATACTCAAAATAAAACTATGTGCTCCCTTTTAAACAGAAACCAAAATTTTGCCCCGTTACTGGTTCAGCTTTGTGACCTCGAATGGAAAACAAATTATCCGGTTACAAGATTGAAATTCAAAACATTTTTCTTCTTTTCAGTAGCTCTTCAATTATAGAAGTTATAAATAAAAATATATAAGATTCCAATCTTACGTGAAAGAAATTGAGTCTTTGCAACAAACTCTGATTTTCTAGTCCTTGCATTGTCCCAACCAAATGTCGTAGACCTTAGATATTTCAGACTATGAATTATGTTAGCTTAACTTATCTAAGTTTGAAATATTAAATGTGTACAACATCAGGACGCTAAGATATTGGAATTCGAAAATTTAAGTTTGTGGCAAAAACTCAATTCCTTTACTTTAGTTTGACGTCAACATTTCATACAAATATTTTAATATAATTATTTCCTATCAAACCTAGAACACTTCCGCGCAGTTGAATAGTTTAGACAGTGAAGTTATTCTAAATAGATGATAATGATATTCGTGTAGGGATAGATATATATTCCAATATATTCTGATACATACCGATATATTCTCATATATACTGATTTATTCTGATATGTCCTGATTTATCTCGATGTATCCTGATTTATCCCGATATATCCTGATTTATCCCGATATATCCTGATTTATCCCGATATCCTGATTTATCCCGATTTATTCCTATATATCCTGATTTATCCCGATATATTCCGATATATCCTGATTTATCTCGATATATTCTTATATATCTCGATATATTCTGATTTATCTCGATTTATTTTGATATATCTCGATATATTCTGATATATCTTGATAAATCTATACAGTATACAATAAAGACGCTTTTCCATTTTAATTTTGATTTCTACCAAGCTTTTAAACAGCTTGGATACAAATAAAAATGGAAATAAAGAGAATCTGTCAATTAAAAGTTGTAATTGAGTTTGTCTTCAATGTATTGATACAAATACCTACCACTATAGGTATACACAGTTTTAAATAATTCTAATATTCAGCTTTACGGTCGAAATGGATGTATGTGGGAACAGACAAAGGAAATGTTCATGTTATGAATCTAGATTCTTTCAGTCTTTCCGGGTAAGCATTTTTTCACATTTTTCATGAGGATTTAAAATTCAATTTTTTAAATCTTGATATTCAGGTATTCTATAAGTTGGAACAAAGCTATAGACATGATGCAGAAAACTCATCCTGGTTGCGTCACTCATTTATCAGGTTCAAATCTTTAATATCTTTAATATCTTTAATATCTTTAATGACTTTAATATCTTTAATATTTTTAATATCTTTAATTTTTAATATCTGTAATATCTTTAATATCTTTAATGACTTTAATATCTTTAATATTTTTAATATCTTTAATTTTTAATATCTGTAATATCTTTAATATCTTTAATATCTTTAATATCTGTAATATCTTTAAAATCTTTAGTATCTTTAATATCTTTAATATCTTTAATATCTTTAATATCTTTAATATCTTTAATATCATATCTTTCATATCTTTCATATCTTTCATATTTTTCATTTCTTTCATATCTCTCATATCTTTCATATCTTTCATATCTTTCATATCTTTCACATCTTTCATATCTTTCATATCTTTCATATCTTTCATATCTTTCATATCTTTCATATCTTTCATATCTTTCATATCTTTTATATCTTTTATATCTTTTATATCTTTCATATCTTTTATAACTTTCATATCTTTCATATCTTTCGTATCTTTCGTATCTTTCGTATCATAATTTCTTAATTCAACATTTCTTTATTAATATTTGAAAACCCAATTTGATTTGACCATTCAACAGTTTGTGGGCAAAACTTTCAATTATTCATCTATTCTGTCGAAAACACTAATTGTGTTTATTTTGATATGTGAAAACAGAGAGTTGATTATTTTGATATAACTTTATATGATTTACACAGGAAAGATACAAAAACATGATTTGTGAATCGCAGAAAAAAAGACAATATAAAAGAATAATTAGTTCAGAAAGCATGTCCTTTTTTACCTGGGTATTTATCCAAAGAAATCCTTGTAATAGATTTGATTAATGTCAAACCCTGATTGCGGTTCAGTGTTTTTAGAATAATAGTTTTAGTAGGTAAACAATCATGGTGGAAGGATTTCTGGTTGAGGTTTATGATTTGTATTTTGTCTTTTCGCGTCCATAGTTTAGAAACTTAATTACGTCCAAGTGAATTTAAAAAAAAAACAATTACTGAATGGGGTTTTAACATAAACATAAACAAAATAAAGTGAAAGGATGATACAAGTTTTTGTGGAAAAAAATATGGCTAACATTTTTCTTATTAAAACAAATTATTAGTTGGTAAGATCTAACTTAGTTTGAAAACAAGGATTGAGTTGTCTATAAGATTACCCCTATTATTGCAAAAGGATTGAGTTGTCTATAAGATTACCCCTATTATTGCAAAAGGATTGAGTTGTCTATAAGATTACCCCTATTATTGCAAAAGGATTGAGTTGTCTATAAGATTACCCCTATTATTGCAAAAGAAATTTTGTGATAACGTAAATTTAAAATGACTTTCTTCCCTTAATCGCATATTAAGTTTTTGCCTTAAAACTTAGCGCCCGTACAAATTGAGAAAATTGCAACATTGCAACAATCAATTTAATTTCAAACAAATCATTCAGATATTACAACCTATAGTCATCGATTATCTTTCGCCACATTTGTATATAGTTTATATGTTATAATATTTTTTAATCAATTTGTTTTGAATTTGATTATTTCTCTTGTTGCTTGCGCATCTATCTAAGAATGCCGCGAACCACTCACATTTTTCGAAATCCGTTAAAACGTATTCTAAAAAAATAAAATATTATAAAATATAAACTATATACAAATGTGGCGAGAAAGATAATCGATGACTATAGGTTGTAATATTTGAATGATTTGTTTGAAATTAAATTGATTTTTTACGTTCTAAGTTGTATGTCGCAATTTTCCGAATTTGTGTGGGCGCTAAGTTATTCGGTATGAGACGTCTTTAACAATTTTCTCCTTATAGACGCAACAGATAGAAGTAAAATTAGTAGCGATCAAAAGCGCTTTTTTTTATCGTATTAAGCCTATACCCCCTTTAATTTTTCGCGAACACTCCCTTTAAAAATCTATATATTAATCAGAGCTGCAATAACATTTAGTTTTGGAACAAACTTCCTCTGAGCTGGGGACCCTTGTTTCGTGTAGAGATGGTGCTTGTTCCCGATCTTTTGTTAATCTGCAGATTGATTTAATCTTTATTCGATATACCGCATGGATTGTATCCAGTTAAGGCTCAGGGATTGAAGGAAGCGTTGATCAGGGGTGAATTACTAAAATGAAGATATGGAAAGATATAGCTTTTATAGATCCGAAAATAATTTTTTTTTCCCACAGTGGATATCGAGATCAAGCGATTGAGATAACGTGTATTCCAACTCAGAAGTTCCCAGCTCTGTTCTTATTTGAGGGAAGGGGCTCCCCCTGCCCCTTTAATTTTTTTTATCATTATAAAACTTTAATTTCTCTCACTTTCAATTCTCCAAATATATCTTTTGTTTTCATTTTTCGGAATTCTTTTCATAGATCTTCAATAGATTTATAATTAACGAGAATTAGAAAATTAGAAAAATCTCCCAGATTCGAGATGATGGAAAATATTTGTTGAAATATTTCTCTCAAGATCATTGTGAAAATTTTAACTTTATTTCTATATTTTCCTAGTTTCATATCTTCATATGCAGGGATATTTCCTTTTCTGCAGGAAATATCCGGAAACTTTGAGATGTTTAAATATTCTCAACTTGATCTTTCATCTAGTCATCCAATATTCTCCACTTGATCTTTCATCTGTAGTCATCCAATATTCTCCACTTGATCTTTCATCTAGTCATCCAATATTCTCCACTTGATCTTTTATCTGTTTTCATTCCATATAACTAGACTCTCAGTACTTTCTTCAACCAATATAACTAGGCTATCAGTACTTTTTTTCAACTAATAATACTAGAAATTCAATCGGCTGATATTTAATTTTTTATATGTTCAGTGAACCCGGCTGATTTTTTATTTTTCATTTGTTCAGAGAACCCGGCTGATTATTAATATTTTCATATGTTCAGAGAACCCGGCTGATTTTTTACTTATTTATATGTGCAGAGACCCAGCTGATTAAAAAAATTCATTTGTTCAGAGAACCCTTATTATTATTTATTTTTTCATAGTTCCAAGAATCCGGCTAATTATTCATTTCATCATATGTTCAGAGAACCCAGCTGATTCCTCTAAGCTGCTGATAGGGTTTGAGACTGGATCACTCTGTCTGTGGGATCTCAGTAATAAAAAAGGAGACCAGAGGTAGGATCAAATCTTAAATATTTTTAAATATCAAATTCGCTGACATTAGATTTTAGATATATTTTTTCCCTTACGGTGTCAAAAATATGTAAAAATTTCAAATTTCAAGATTTTGATCTTTATTATCAGTAATGCATTAAATTAATTTTCGATTCATAAAATTTTCCAGGCTGGATTATAATAAAAAATTACGTTCGATGAATCACACTATCCAACTGGTTTTTATCTTTCATTTTACCATTTATCTGACTCCTTATTTCTCCCTTTCTCTGAAATAAGTTAAAAATAAATTATTTTAAATTAATCAGTATCTTTTTAGATATTCGTACAATAAAAAGTTCACCTCTGTCAGCTGGCACTGGGAGGGTCGGCAGTTTGTTTGCAGTTGTTCTGATGGATCCTTGGTCACGTGGCAGCTTAGACCAACAGCTGGTAAACCAAGCGCCGTCATTTTCCCACACAAGGAATATTTATTCTTCAAGAAAACTCGGATTTTGAAATAACAAAAATGATGCGTGGTTGAGTGCCACCCTTGGGAAACAAAGATCATTTGAGTCAAATCTCTTGAAAGTTTATCTTTTCCCTTTCTTGAAGAGAGTTCAGACTACTTTAAAAAAGAATTGATGTTGAATTTCTTGAAAAAAAAATTCTAAAAAATTGCAATATATATTTTTATAATCAAAGCTATTTTTTTCAATCCCACTCACCTGAAAATATATTATTATCCATTAAATGAAGTTCAAAAATTAAATCGAAGAAAAACTGATCCGAATTTTGTATAAAAAGCTTATATTTCTAAATAAAAGCTGACGTCAAGAGAAATTGAAAAGAAAGTTTCTAGTTTCCTACATTTTATCTGAAAATATAGTTTTTACTTTATAAAATGATTTTTTGATATCTGGGCATATTGAAGTTTTAAAAAATTCAAATTCAGTTAAAAATTCAAATTTTGCGTTCAAATTAAAAATTTGAAAAATACAATAGATTTTGTCCACTAGATTTATCTTTTTTACTTTTGAGTTTTAGAACAATTGTAATTATTATTTCTATTTTTTTTATTTCCACTTTTACCTTTTTGATAATAATGACAATAATATTAATACTAATTATAATTGCAGATTTCACTTCCTTATGAATCCTTATATTAATGTTAATAATGATAATAGGCCAATCTAAGAATAAATGCTTATGCAGAAGAAAGGGGATGAGGTAGAGGATATGGCTTCTATTGATAAGGTTAGATTTATCTATTTTTCTAATTATATATTTGCATGTTCTCCTAATACATATACTTAATTGCAGATGGGGCAGGGAGGGAGGATGGAGGGATATAAACAAAACAAAACATTTAAAAGATGTATAACTAATTTTCTACATTTTTAAACTTGTTCCCTTCAGCTTTAGATATTCAAGAAAATTTTACAATAATTTTCATTGGGGATCAAAAATTCATATTTATATTTTTATGCATATTTCCTTTATTTTTGAAGGGAAACCTAAAAAACTTCTTAGTTCAAAGTTTTGCCAACGGTTTTTGAACACTGAACGGAATAATTTATTTAGTGCTTGATCTGAAAGGGTTGATTAAGAATGTTTATAGATTCTTTACATAGATAATTTGTAAGCGAACCTTGTTTATACAGATCAAGGTTGTATAATAAATTATACAACCTCAATGTACGGAAAATGTCGTCTCCTAAGATAGATAGATAAAAAACCATATGTGAGTCCAGTTCCGTAGCCAGAATATTTTCAGAGGGGGTACATAAAGGGCGCAGTGATATATGGTTGTTTTTATTACATTGTCAATGCACACCATAAAGACTAACCTTTTAACAAGTGTATTTTAGTGTCTGAAACGTTTCAGTTTACATATACATTATATATAAAAAATTAATGGTACTTTAGCTTAGGGAAAAAATTCATTATTTAAAATCAATGCTGTTGTCCCTCGGCCTCATCATGATAATATGAAGATGAATAAAAAATAATACTAATTTTTTAATATTTTGTTTAAAAGAGTTTATTTATTGGCATTGAGACATTCTTAGTGAATTTTAGAGTACTCAAAAAAAAAACTCTTCTACTTTGACTAAAAATGACAAATATCTTCGCCCAAAATAAAGCTCCCAAAAATGGCTATTATATTCCAAAATAAATGGATGAATTTTTTCCTTTTAAGGATGTTTTACTTTGTATAAGTTCTTGATTTCAGACTCTACACACACAGACACACTTTTAATGAGTAACACACAATAAGATTATAATTTGGTTTGGGAAGGGAATCAATTCTTACACGGGCTATATAATTGATAACTAGATTTTAGAAAATTATGAGAAACAATTTCTTTTATATGGGACTAGGGGGAGGGGTGCAAATTCGTCATTGAACCCCCTTTGAGAAGAAAGGGGGGTGCACCGTCCCCCTGCACCCCCCCCTGGCTACGGGCCTGCATATGACGTCACTGATTATAGATTCAAGGGTGACGTCATATGAGGTTTTTATCTATCTATCTTGGGAGACGACATTTTCCGTACATTGGAGCGCTTCGAGAGTAACCGACCTTATTATACAACCTTGATACAGTTAAAGGAAAGTTGAACAATCCCTGAACGGAAATAGAATACTGCAATGCAGGAGACATTAGTTCCAAAACAAACACTTGGCCCATTTCTAACACTGAGTGTTAAAAATTAGCACAAATTGAAAGACTAGGTTTTTGGGATCCCGGCCTATATCCAGATTAAAAGTCAATAATAGAAACTATAACCAACATTTTATTAAACATGACGAGGAAAACAAATCAATTCACAATTTTAAACTTTTTTTTAAATCAAAATTATAATAGGAGTTTTATATTAAATCTCTTGACAATGTTAGATTTTCCATTTTTCGAACATATCATGAATTTGAAACATTGTCGCGTTTTCGAGACAAAACCCACTTTCACGTTTTTGAGTATAATCCTCAATTCAAAACAAAACTCACTTACATAACTTACAAAATAAATAACAGAAAACAAAAAATTTTCTTATGACGACTAAATTAACTTCTGAATTCTTTCTAGAATCTAAGTTTCCACATTTTATCTAAATTAGAGAATCTGAGCTGGGAACTTTAGAATGGTGGATATCGGGATTAATGCTTAATCCACTCTTTTGCTTAATCTCCAGATTAAATATTGCTTATATTCCTCATGAACTTAATCTCCAGATTAATTAACAGATCGGGATTAAGGATATCACATTCTAAAGTTTTCAGCTCAGGATATGTTCCAAAAACGCGACATGAGCTGAAATCCGGTAATTGTTTCAAAATAGGGATTTTTCCGAAAATGAAATCAAGAATCATCAAAAACTAATTCTCACACATTATTAGTTTAAAATTGACATTTATTGTTTCAATGTATAGTTTTAGCCATTTTTTGTAAATATATGGTGTAATTTTGTTCTACTCGACTTGGATTTAAAGATATATACTCTTGAAAAAGATAACTTTGCAGATTTGGCCCATTTCTAACACTCAGTGTTAGAAATGGGCCCAGTGTTAGTTTGGAGCTAATATCCCCTGCAATGTGTGCAGTATATAGCACACAAGTAGGGATTTGGAAATATTACAGACAGTCAAATTCTTTATACAAAAAAAAGAAGATTTTCATAGCTAATATGTTTTTTCAAGTCTAAACCGTCAAAACGCGAAAAGATATCGACCCGGGAAGATTAAGCTAACCAGAGCTGGGAACTTTTGAATGGTGGATATCGGGATTAAGGCTTAATCCACTCTTTTTCTTAATCTCCAGATTAACATAATCTTGCAAGATTATCTTAAAAGTGTATGAAAAACGATAAAATTCAAATTAATATTTAATCATCTGAGAAACTGTAGCAGCCAATCAGAGAAAAGCGGGCAACCAATGAGAGAACAGAAATATTCTCATTGGAGAAAACAATTAACGGATATCCAAGGAGAGAGAAAAAGAGTGGATTAAGGACTAAAATGAAAAGTTTCCACAGTGGATATTCGGATCAAGAAGTTAGGATTAAAGTTTATCCATTCTAAAGTTGTCAGCTCAGATTATTTTCAATTCGAAATGGATAATCCAAGTGATTTGTCTGTCTTTCAAAACTGAAAAAGGAAAGAATTGCTAACTGTTTCCTTGTGTAGGTTGAGTGGGTGGTGAGTAGAGATGGAGAATCCTATTTTATATTTTCTGGAGGATTACCCCAGGATGTTACAGGAGCACAACCGAGTATTACAGTAATGCAGGTATATGCTTTATACTGTACACTGTACTGGACACATGTAATAAAAAACATTATTATTAAGACAACTCTTATAGAATGTAATGTATTAAGTAATGCTGGTTAATTGCATAGTAACTCAATATACTGATGGTGTAAACCTTTGATATGTTAACCTTATAAGATTTGAACCAACAGAATTCATAGTTTGAAATATCAAAGGTTTATGACATCGGGTTTCCACGATATAGGGATTGAGTTTAAAACATTTGCTTTTTTTCCAAAGCACGTCAATAAGAAGAGTTTTGACTGAAATCGTGTAAGATTGCAATCTAACGGGAATATTTTAATTTAACGTGCGACTTATACAAGATGTACTCGTACTGGTGTTAGCAGGTAGTGCAGTACGTATTTACTATGTGCTCTAAGTGCCTTGTACGATTGTAGGAAACCCATTCAAGTTTACATAAACAAACCATTAAACTGAAATCTAGCAGTTTTTTAACCTTAAACACATTGTTTCAGGGTAAGAATGTAACAGTATTGGAAATGGAGTTCTGTGTTTTAGACTTTTTACTGATAACAGATAGTGTATACAGGTTAGTAACAGATAGACAAACACAGACACACTTTTAATGAGTAACACACAATAAGATTATAATTTGGTTTGGGAAGGGAATCAATTCTTCCACGGGCTATTCAGTACTTTCTTCAACCAATATAACTAGGCTATCAGTACTTTTTTTCAACTAATAATACTAGAAATTCAATCGGCTGATATTTAATTTTTTATATTATACAGGTTAGTAACAGATAGTATATACAGGTTAATAGCAGATAGCATATACAGCTTAGTAACAGATAGTGTATACAGGTTAGTAACAGATAGTGTATACAGGTTAGTAACAGATAGTGTATACAGGTTAGTAACAGATAGTGTATACAGGTTAGTAACAGATAGTGTATACAGATTAGTAACAGATAGTGTATACAGGTTAGTAACAAATAGTGATTTGGAAATATAAAATGAAATGTAAGGGAAATTGTAAATAATGATTTCATCATTTTTGTAAAGGCTTAATTACTAAGGTACCTTAATAAATTAGCTTTTCTTCTTTTTTGAAACAAATATATTATGTTCCTTGAACACTGCAGTGCTCGGACCCTTTTTTCCGCCCTGGCTATGGCACTCTGTTTTCTTCTTCCTGAAATAGATACTTAAACCAGCCAAATACATTGGTCGAAAACATGCTTAATTCATCTATTAATTAAATTTTCTAGGCGTGTTTTTTTTAATTGATAAAACACGTTTGGACTAAAGTTAACCCTAATCCGAATTCAACCTAATCCGAATACAACCTAGTCCGAATACAACTTAGTCCGAATACACCTTAGTCCGAATACAACCTAGTCCGAATACTACCTAGTCTGAATACACCCTAGTCTGAATACACCCTAGTCCGAATACACCCTAGTCCGAATTCACCCTAGTCCGAATACACCCTAGTCCGAATACAACCTAGTCCGATTACAACCTAGTTCGAATACACCCTAGTCCGAATACAGCCTAGTCCGAATACACCATAGTCCGAATACACTCTAGTCCAAATATAACCTAGTCCGAATACACCCTAGTTCGAATACAACCTAGTCTGAATACACCCTAGTCCGGATACAACCTAGTCCAAATACACCCTAGTCTGAAAACACCCTAGTCCGAATACAACCTAGTCCGAATACACCCTAGTCCGAATACACCCTAGTCCGAATACACCCTAGTCCGAATACAACCTAGTCCGAATACAACCTAGTCCGAATACACCCTAGTCCGAATATACCCTAGTCTGAATAGACCCCATTTCAAACATACAATAGTCAATTTTTTCCCTTAATAAAACAATGGCCACCCTAATTCCATGTTATACAAAAAACCTTTAAAAAAAAATTTTTTTTCGAGAGAAGATATCACTTTCCTCACTCTCTAATCCTTATTTGCTTGTAACCTGATGTCAAAGACCATTATATATTTCAACCCATGTATTTTTCTAGATTATATAGTCAAAATTTTACATACCTAAGGTTAACATTATCAGATTGCAAAGATATAGGAATTAGACAATTTATATTCAAGACAAGTGATCAGTATAGATTTTTCCTTTTATTTTAATGCACGAGTTACAGTGTACACTGTACACGCTTACACAATTACATAAATATATTCTCTTACATAACAAAACACTGTACAGCGTTACGCTTACACAATTACATAAATATATGCTCTTACATAACAAAAAACTGTACAGCGTTACGCTTACACAATTACATAAATATATGCTCTTACATAACAAAAACATCAACCTTGTTGTTAAAGGGATTGCGGTTCACTTAATATTACGCTTACAGTCCAATTAATTGGTCACAAATTCATTTAGTTCATATTTGTTCACTTTATTCAGAAAAGGATCTGTTACAGAAATACTACAAGAGAGCGCTAATTTCTTTCTGAAAGCTCCTGTTCCTGAAAAGTAAAATTTGCTAGAATCAGCTTTGCCAATGTTAATTTACAGTTTAAAAGGAAAAGTGTTCAAATTTGTACTTAATTTTAATGCTTTATTTATTTATTTATATGTAGATTAGTCTAAACATTAAAATATTTAACATTAATTGTGATTACTGGATTATTTGCTTTTGGTTATTGTGGTTACCTTTTTTGTCCAAAAAGAAATGATATGACACATCAGCTTGATCCAAAGCTCTCAAGCAAAAATTGATGAAATTTCTGTCATGTTCTTACTAAAAAACTAAATCTGAAAACAAGTGCATTTGAGTTCTAAAGTGTATATGTCCATGGCACAATAACAAAAAGTGAGTAGGAGAGGTAAAATTGGATAATTCATATGAAGAATTTAAAAAGTTTTAAATAAAAGGTCAAGATTCAGAAAAGATCGTAAATTAGGTCTATTGGTGTATGATATGTGGGTTAGTTATGTGAAAAAAAAGCTGAGTAATTGCAATAAAATTTGTCATACAGTGCTCCCCAAAAAAATACCTACAGTGTAATTTACTCAACTACATTCCACTATTCTAGTGACCACTGTATTTACATAAATTATCATATTATCGTTTGAAAGCATGAAAGCTTTAAAATTAGTTTGTTGATATCTGGTTTTGTTACAATTTTATCAAATATTTTTGATGCTTTGATAAACTTTTTCCGATCTCAATGTTTTATTATCAGGAAATTCGAATTTTGAAAAGGACTGTTTGTGAAAAATAGAAAGAGGGGTAAATGAACGGATGAACTAAGATAAAAATATTAATTGATTTGTACTTTTTCATTTTATCATTGTTGTTGTAATTTCAAGTGACCTTCTTGAACCGAATGTAGAAAATATCGTCGTTTCTAGCTTGAAAAGGTTTAAATTCCAAAAAGGAACTCCATTGTTTCTGTAAGTAGAAATACGCAAGTCACTTTTGTAAAGAAAACATAATTCAAAATAATTAAATTTTAAAAACTAGCCTTTTAAGGGGCTTTGCGCCCAAAATTTTTCAAAATTTAATGAAAATTGAATTTTGATGGAGACAAATATTTGAAATTTTGATCATTCAAAAACAGTCCTGGGGCCACGCGAGGTCCCACACAAAATTTGGGCCTGATCGGTTTAGCCGTTTTGAAGTTTATTGGATACAAACAAACAGACAGAAGACAAGCTAAACTTATATATAGAAGAAATATTGATAGCTCCTTTATTCTTCATCAACGCTTTTAATTGTACTGTTTTGAATCGTACATGCCACTCCTCAATATACGGAGGCTTACTTGAAATTACACTTACAGTCCCTTAAAAAAGTGTATGATATATATATGTGCTTATGATAAATCAAATATAGAAATATAGACAAAAATAAGATATGTTGATTCATGATTTAATAATGGTCAATTTACACTTAACATTTACATTTTTGTTAACACTCCCTTTAAAAATATATAAAATTTTTGCTAACACTCTCTGTGAAAAATATTGAAAAATTTTGTTATCACTCCCTATTAAAAAATATTATAAATTTTTGTTAACACTACCTATAAAAAATATTACAAATTTTTGTGAACACTCGCTATAAAAAATATTATAAATTTTTGTTAACACTTCCTATTAAAAAATTTTGAGGTTGGCTTTATTTTTAAACAAAGTTTCATACTTGTAAAACATTTTTACTTTCAAGTACATTGCATAAACTTTATAAATCTACCAGATTTTAAAGAAAAGTTTAAATCGAGGAATTTATTAAGTTTTAGATTTTTGTACTTTGATGTAGTAAGTTTAAACTTGAATTTTCTAAACCCTTTAACTTTGCAACCTGATGATACGCGTAAACCTTTGACATTGAAAACTTTGACTTTTAGATAAGTAGATACCAGTTTGATATATCACGCCATTAGGTTGTTAAGGTATAAGGTTTAGAAAATTAGAGTTTGTGGAAAATTTTAAGTTCTTTTATTAAGAGTGTTACTAATCTATTAATTTATTTCTAAATTACACTCCCAAGATGTTATGTGTTCTGGGTCAACAATATATTCAAACCAATAAAATAGAAAAATTCTTTAAACTCTTTCTAATAGATTTATTTTGTTAAGATCTGAGATTTCGAACCCTGAATCAATCTTGGTGCTGCTGACCAATGACCTGGTGGCTATAGACTGCCGGGCAACTGGGTTGCCCAGCTACGAAAATCCTTATGCAATGGATTTTCAGGTAAATAAATAAATAAATAAATAAATAAATAAATAAATAAATAAATAAATAAATAAATAAATAAAATAATCATAATAAATTAAAGACATGCATTGGGTTTTTGTCACATTTTAATCTATCCAAATTGCTTATCATACCCAGATAGTCAGTAAGCCGTTACTTTTGGGCACTTTACCCCATCAAATTAAACAATTTTGTATTTTTTATTTTTTTGTTGGATATGTTAAAACCACACTTTGTTTTCGGCCAGTGAGTCAGTTCTTAAACCAATCATAAATCTTCCCTTCTATTCCATTAGCTTTCATTTTAGCAAGAAGTTTATCATTGGGGACAGACAGTATTGAATGCTTTTGTAAAATCTTAGTAAAGAGTTTCCTTTATCAACTTCAGAATTATGTCTTAAAAACTTTCAATAAGTTGTTTAAGTGGACTTTAAATGGATTGCAAAATTATCTATGGTTTTGACCTTTCACTTAGTAAAACGTTTCACTGTTTGTTTTTTTCTTTTTCGGTGAGTACAGATAAAATTGTCGGAGATTGTTTTAGTTTGGAACTTCTCCGAGAGATGTTTTGGTAAAAACGACTTACAGGGGGGAGGGGGGGTAGAAGTTAGATTTATGGTCAACAAGCTTATAGCGAAGTGTGTCGCTCTATAATCCTGAACTATTTGTGATCACATAGTATTGTGTGTATAATCCTATAATGTAGTGTGTAATGTAAATGTCCTTATTAGATTGCTGCAGATGTCTTTAAACTAAAAGTACGCATCAAGAAAAGTCTAACGAAAAGGTTTTAGTTTAATGTTTAAAAGAAAAATTAAGTTACTCATAATCCCGTTTGCAAGTGGGCACTTTAGAATTTTAAGCAAAATATTATCCCAATTAAACACTGTACAGTGTACAGCTTAAGGAAAAAATATAAACTGTAGTATAACAAAAGATCGAGATCAAGCATTAATCATCTAAAATAAAAGAGTTCCCAGCTTATAGTGCTTAGAATATAGAATAATGTTGGTATCTGATGGTAGGCTGGCAAAATGTCGGTTGTCCGTTGCGTGAAAATTACATATAAAAGATCAAAAACCCAGGCTACAATTTTGATTTAGTAAAGTCATCTTGAAACTGTAGAATGGATGTAGGACAACCCTAACAGTTTGATTTGATTTGATTTGATACATTTTGTACATACATGTATAAAAATATATGTACTAGCAGAAGTGCCTGGCGTCGCCCATCAAGTAAAAAAATCGAATATCTATATAATAAATCTCTTTGCTAATCAAATATACCCATGGTAACAAAGGCTAAAAAAATGTTTTGTTTCAAACTTCGAATGTTTTTATTTCACAAATGCCGGGCACTTCAACTAGTCTTAATAATAAAACTCTTTGCTCATATATGTCAGCTAAAGCTGACCAAACGGCTGGACCGGATGGCGGTCATTTTTTGAGGAAACCTTGATTACCCCAGGGTAGCATAGGCTTGTATATATGTAAATATATATAAGCGAAGAGCTTTATAATATGACATGTATTATAGGACATATATACCGTTAACATACTGTTCAGTATACAATGTATTGTATAGTTTACAGTAAATAGGGTACAGTGTTACTCAGTGTGAAGTGGCCTCAGCGCGTTTTGTGCAAAAGTTTAGGCTGGCTGGATACATGTGTGCGATAATCTTCTGTCAACATTTGTGTATAGCAAATTGTAGACAACGTACATTGTGCATGTATATTTAGTAGAGTGCGGTAACCTACTGTACAGTATACATTGTACAGTACACAGTGTACATTTATATATATATAAGGAGAGAGAAAAA